ATACGATATGTTACATGCAATAATTGTTACACTGGTAGCATTTACAACTGGTTTCGCTATTGTTATAATTCCGTTTATAACATGTACAATGAGAGATCGTAAAAATGCTCAAGGTAAACATAAATATCAACGGCCTACATCATTATCAGCATCTATATGGCGTAAAATAACCAATGAACGTTTATCAAATAAAACACAATCAAATTTATTACCATATGAATGGTTTTTAGATAATGATGATACCAATCATAACCAATTAACTTTTAAGAGTAACAGTGATAGTAAATTAGTAAAGAGAATTCTTGACGATAAAAATAATGGAAGGAAAAAGAAAAAGTTGAACATTCATGAGAAGAATGTTGACAGTTTATCCAATTCCTTATTGTTAATAAACTCTGATAAAAAACATAACAGAAATCAAGATTACAATAACCTAACTAATCAAATTCACAAGGAATATCACTCAAAAGATTCGCGTAAAGCAGCACATAATACTACATCATCAGTACAACGTTCAGAAGTAGCTGGGGACAATCTTGATACAAGTAAAAGTAGAACAGTTGTTGAATTGAAATTATGTAATGATCAAAATACAACTCCAGATTACGATGACGTCAGTAATAATAATGATGTATTATTACAAAGTGTACAATCAACAGCAAACAAGATTACAAATACGACAACTATAAAGCAAAGACCTATATCAGATGTCCAATATGTAGACCCAAAATCAGAAACTAGATTATCACAAGTAAAAATTATCAGTGTTTTGATATCGTCTTCACCACCATCAGAACAAGTATGGTCAGACATGTCGGTGAATAACCCAATGATTCATAATGTTACAATTAATGACACATCGAAAAATGGTATTCCAGAAGATACAAGTTGTTTTAATGAAGTATATATAACACCCGCTGAGAATTGTAGATATGATAATGAGATAAGCTTGATGGAAATAGATGAGACAACACATACTAAAAGTACCATTCCAGACAATTAGCTAATAAAATTCACAACTGCTTTATGATAAAAATTATGAATAAATTAATTCCCTTATAAGTATCTAATAATAAATAATCATATTAAATATAAAAATTCAAATGTTAACCAGTTTTTTTTCAACTACGCCTTCTTATTATCAGGCTTATTAATTGTTTTCAATCGTATAAAAATTATCAAACATTATCAAGACAATAGACGTTCGATGACAAATAGCGATAAATCTGATTAATTCAACTTATCTTATTGAGTTGGGGTTCAAGTGATTACATATAAAGGACGTTTAAGACATTAAAAGTAAGAAGAGTTTATAATCATTCTTCGTAAGTGAATCTTTGAGATTCAGAAACACTGACACTAACGTAACTTCGTAGTGTCAAGACTATATGAGATACCGAATGAAATAAAAACGTCAGGGAACAACAAAGATTTGGAACACAAAAGACAAACGAGTGTACTATATCCCGACCGTAGCTGCTACCTTGACATGGTGGTCGGACCTTTCCACGGTATGAGTAGCCAGGAAGTGATATCAGCCCTCATACCCATAACAACATACGAGACCAAGTTGATCACATTCACATCCTTCCTACACCCTCTAATACCTCTTATCTCCACGACTAACCCTTCTCACGTCCCTTTATCACCTCGCACCGCTAGGGCGAACGATTCGAGTACATGGAACGTTATTCCTGGTCTCCTGAAACCACGCTCTAAACTACACGTAGGAGCTTTTAACGTCCGAACACTGTGCCAAATAGGACAACAGGCTTCCTTAGCTAGGACTTTAGAATCTCGCGCCATCGATGTGTGCTGCGTCTCCGAAACGCACATACAGGATCCGAGTAGTGTCATTCACCTGACCTCACCATGCCAAAATAAAGAACCGACTTGATTCACACTTCGTGTATCTGGAAGCCCTGATTCTGCTTCCCGTGGCCTCGCCGGCGTAGGCATAGCATTGAGTCCTAGGGCAGAACTAGCTCTCTTAGAGTGGATCCCAGTAGACAGTCGTTTGTGCGCTGTCCGACTAAACGGAACAGTAAGGATCCGAAAAGATAGGGACACTCGTCGTTGCCTCTTCGTCGTCTCTGTCTATTCTCCCACTGACTGCAGCGCAGATGATATAAAAGATGAGTTTTACAGAAAGCTCTCCGACCTTCTCCGAAAAGCTAGGCGCTCTGATTTAGTAATAGTGGTTGGTGACTTTAATGCTCAAGTAGGTAAACTAAGCGATAGGGAAAGACATCTGGGTGGATCTTATATTGTCGTGTCTCAAAGAACAGATAATGGTGACCGTCTGTTGCAGCTATGCTCAGATAACCGATTCTTTCTTGCAAATACTAACTTTAAACATAAGGAAAAACATGTTTTAACATGGAGACCCCCTAATTCGTCCCAGCGTTGGACCCAAATAGATCACATCGCTATCAGCCACCGATGGAGCGGCTCGATAAAAGACTGTCGCTCATTCTGGAGCACATGCTTAGATTCAGATCATGCTCTAGTACGAGCGCGTATTTGCCTGCGTCTTACTGGACGTAGGAAAGACCCTGCAAGGAATCCTCTTAGGGCCCTACTTAATGATAGTCAAGCTAAGTGTATATTTCAGGAACAACTAGGAAAACAGTTAGGCAGCCATGTACGTGATGCCCATCCCGAGGCATCATGGAATGATATCCGAAAAGCTGTGGAAACAGCAGTGATATCTGCTAGTACGGTATCCCGTAAGGTTAGGGAACGACACTGGATCTCAGCAGCATCTATCGCGCTGATAGATGCTCGGAAACTCATTCCACCTGGCTCTGAACATAATGAAGAGTGGAGTCAGCTTAAGCGCAAGCTGACAAGAAGTCCACGCCATGATCGTGAACAGTGGTGGGTAGCGAAAGCAAGAGAGATGGAAAAGGCTGTGGCGATAGGTAATAGCAGACAATTGTTCAGACTTGTTAAGGAAACCGGTATTAGGAAACCGATTGTTAGCGAAACACTCTCAGAGAAAGATGTACATATTATACACTCTCAATCCAGGAGATTGGATCGATAGGCAGAACACTTCAGGGATTAGTTCAACTGACCTTCAGCCACACATCGGTTTCCCACGATCTCCAGTCGACCTGAATGGTAAGTTAATGTAAGTCCTCCAACTCTACGAAGTTGAAAAAGCTATAGGAAATCTGAAGCGAGGGAGAGCAGCAGGCCCTGACAGGTTTACTCCTGAGATTTTTAAGGATGGTGGTCCAGTATCAGCAGTGAGATTAACTGAGGTCTTAGATAGAATCTGCGAAATGGACGTAATTCCATCTGACTGGTCTCAATCACTAATTGTGCCAGTCTATAAGAAAGGACGAAATTCCTTTTGTGACAATCACGCCTAACTAACGCTCGTGAAGAGCAGACTAGAAAAAATCAGGCTGGTTTTCGACCTGGACGTGACTGTATGGACCAGATATTTACACTACGTCAGGTTCTAGAACATAGACACACATTCAGGCGCCCCACAATTGTAGTATATCTTGACCTTAAGGCAGCATTCGACTCTGTTGATCATGAGGATCTATGGCAGTGTTTGTCACTGAAAGGAGTACCAAAGAAGTACATTAACCTTATACAGGATCTCTACTCGAACACAACTGGTAGAGTGAGAGCTTATGGCGAACTGCCATCAGAATTGATTACCTCAAGTGGTGTTCGTCAGGGCTGTCCACTCTCTCCATTCTTGTTCAACTTTGTCATTGACGTACTTTTAGAGATAACACTCTCCTCATCTAGATTTTCAGGGGTTGAACTTCTACCGGGAGATTCACTTGTTGACTTAGAATATGCTGATGACATAGTTCTATTTGGTGAAGACGCTGACAAAATGCAGTCTTCTGACCACTCTAAGCATCGATGCAAGCATGTTCGGGATGTGATTCTCCCCCTCGAAATGCAAAATGTTGCTTCAGGATTGGGTTGCATGGACACCTAAACTAATGATAGGGAGTGAAGTAGTTGAGCGTGTCGACCGCTTCACTTATCTTGGGAGTCTCATCAGCCCTTGTGGTCTGGTGTGTGATGAAATCTCAGCACGGATACAAAAGGTTCGACTAACTTTTGCCAACTTGCGTCATTTATGGCGTATGCGAGATATCCGTCTATCAACCGAAGGACGTGTTTACTGCGCAGCAGTTCTTTCCGTCCTGCTTTATGAAAGTGAAACATGGTCGGTAAGAGTGGAGGATATTCGTAAGTAATAAGTATTCGATCATAGGTATCTTCGAAGCACTGCTCGTATATTCTGGGACCACCGAATAAGTAATACAGTCGTTAGGAAACAGGTACTAGGTAAGGACGGCAAATCAATTGATGAAGTAGTGAAACCTCATCAGTTGAGACGGCTGTGACACGTTTTACGTACGCCCAACCACCAACTGCCCCGACGTGCGATGTTTTCTGGTGTAACAGTAGGTTGGAAGAAAGCTAGGGGCGGCCAGACTAAAACATGACAAAAATACATGAAGTCATTGACAAATGGACTGAGCTATGTTGGTAGGTGTAGACTATCTGGTTGGCGCAATAGCTAACAATATTAGAGACTAATTAGCAACTTCATTATGAAAACAAAGCTAGAAGGAAATAAGTTAGATTTTATAGTTAACTTAAAAACCAGATCATATAGTTGCAATAAATCACCCTATATCCGATATCGAATTGTCAGCATCATGAATTAAATTAAATAATAAAGAGCTGTTTTTGAGGGTATTCAAACAACTGGAAATATTTAAAGGACTGTCGATTTATCTGTAGTTATCTTAAACATACGGAAATGACAGGACACTTTTTACAAACTAGTTGATAAGGATAATTTAATCGATTGAGGTGATGATATAAAACGACTGACTGAAATATATTCTATTAAGGAAAGCATCTTACACTGAGCATATAGAAAAATACAAAGTTAGAACAGATCCCAAGTTTGCATTAAAAAGAAATATGTTCTCTAAAATTAAGTTGAATTAAAGGCGTTTGATTGAGACAGCTGTACGACCACATATACTGAAACTAGAATGTTCCGATGATAAGTTATCCGGTATATTTGAGTTAATTTCATTGCTATTTTCATTTAAACTTGAAAATTCATTCACATTGACAACAATTTCAGCATAGCTACCGAAAGCCTCTCCTCTTGATACATATCCAGGATTGATGCACAACACACCATCTACATTCTAAAAATTAATTTTAAAAATGTTTCAGCACGGAGTAGGGAATGGAAAAAATATTATTATGAGAATACCAAAAAAACCGACTTCGTTTCTTTACTATTAAAACTAATAAATCAAAAACCTTCAGCGAAAGCTTTGTTTGTTACAATGGACAGGACTCATTGGTTAGCTGAAATAAACGTATACAGAATTTTCACTGATTGAAATCATGAGTCAATTGAAACTAGACCACCATAAAAAACCTGGGAACACTGGACGGCCGTCTCGTCCTGGTGCGCATCCACGATCCCGCCTCCCACGAGATTCGTGCCCAAGACCTATCAGTCTCACGCGCGAGTGCTTAACCACTAGATCACTGAGCCGGCATCCAACGGTGTTAATGTCTGACTTCAACCAATCCACGAAGTTGCGCCACCGTACACCATTGTCTTCAGTGAGTTTATATCTCACAACAGACCTCGTTGTACTCCACTGGTAACGGTTTCTCACTATAACTCCAGGAAATGCCTATTGAAACCAGTCACTAGTGAGATGATTATTATCAGAAGGGGTATATATATATATATATATATATATATATATATATATATATATATATATACTTTCGATGTGATTCTGTTATAGCCATCATATCCTTCTATGTAACTGCCGTCAGACTTCGTATGAATCTAAGATAAGATGTGTAACGGCAAGTAATTAGTGTATTTACCACAAATTACTAATTACACTAGCTGGAATAGGTAGACTCGGTAATATTTTGAAAGTGACTACTGAAAAATAACTAATTCAATCTGTAGTGTCAGCTATTATATCCATTACATGAACCTTTCAGTTATTAAAAAGTCCACTTCACTTGGTATCATTTCGATGGTTCCTGATTCTGAAAATATCAATTAACCAGTCCATGGACGATTGTCAAGTGAGATTGTATTGAGAAGTGTACCTACAGCCATATATCTCGAATTCGCCTCAAAATCACTCAAGTGTCAGGGACTGGTAGCTGAGTGCTTTAATGCTGGAAGGAAACTTCAGGCAAAAGAAGATAAATCAATATTTACTTTCACTGTGTTTACAATCTAAACATCAAACTTGAAAACTACCAGAAATAGCGATGATTAAATAAACAGTAATTGAGATCGTACCTTTACAAATTGACGCAATTTCGACGGTAAAATCAAACAGTGTGGTGTGACTGAAAACTGTGCATATTGACTCCATAAAGGGTAATCAAGTGGTAAACCATCGTCAGGGGGATGTACAGGGTAAAACGATGATGAGGCGAGAATATGCCGACATAAACGAGTAATTCTATCACTGCCCGAACAACTATGAAATTACAAGAAAAAATTGAACAGAAATTCCATTTAGTGTATCAGCTGTAATAGATTTCTTAAAACAGTGAAGTAATTTTAACACTAACGAGTTAGTATACAATTTTGGAATAAACACCAATGAATGAAAATTTTAATAATATTTTCCTCAATTTATTACGTTTTACCCTATAAAAATGTTTAGTTAGTGTACGTCATCAAACTTAATTAAAGCTAATTTCAACCAGATGATCTGAAACATTGTATAATTTGACTACATAATACCCAGCTTTCAGTTGCATTTATTATGAAAAACCTAAAACCGACTACAGAGTTTGATTAAGTTCCCGTAAACGATTGCGACTACCGTAATTTCTAATTACAAAAGGTCGATATGACTTCTTGTACGAATGTAATCAAATTTGAAATCAATAAGTTGAGCAACAGGCCCACAATACCATGACGATTATCCCTAGTGAGATGAAACACATGAAGTTAAGACTTTAGGAAACAGCCTGATAGTCAACGAAGTCAGAACTGTAAAAGAACAACTTTTTAGATTAAACAAGCAACAGTGCTCTTAGTTGACGACAAAATTAGCAAACTAAAGCGAAAACAATCAATCACACAAGATCAATGTCACTGTGCAAATGTGAATCGGAAAAATCTTAACGCGATTTCACTTAAAAGACAAAACTAACATTTATTAATAAAAATAAATTAATCTAAGGTTTTCATAACAAATTTCGGTAGAAACCATCTAACAAATACAGCTACAACAGTGCGGTATTTGTCTAAATGAAGGATAGTAAACATACTTTAAAATTCTCATTTTGCCATTTGGTAAATAAAGAAGGAACGAATTGAGCGAAGAAATGTCTTCGCTCAATTCGTTCATACTTTAAAATGTCAAGGTGCTTACGTAATATGAAACTACTACTACTGAGTCCAACAACTACCAATCTCTTACAAAAATGTTGTGTTGTTTTAAAACAGACAGAACAAACAAAACAACTATCTGACCAATCTTATAACAAGTGGCATAGACTGGAAAACCTTTAGTAGGTATAACCATAAATGCAGGTTTGAGCTCTATAGTAAAGCACAGACTTGGAGGTTGGAGTCCACTCCACAAAATCGACATATTGAGATCACTAACCAATTAATGTTAGACCACCGCTGAAAATCTGTAAGCACCGGACGGCCGTTTCATCCTAGTATGGGACTCCTCAACAGCGCGCACCTGCGGTTCCACACGTAGGACTTGAACCTGTTGCCTGTGGGCATGTCAAATATCACGTGACAAAATCGCCAACCAGAAGACCGAATTATATGACATCGTCTTTGTGCGAAACCAATGATCCATTAACCAGCACGACCAGCTTTGAGTCAACTCTGAGCCGTTAATGGTCCACCGTATATTAATTTCTCGCCTAACCCAGGCCATTCAGTCTAGAACACATGCATAAACCTCCGATGTATGAATCCTATATTTCAGACATACGTAGCTTATATACAAGCAAACCAGACTGCATTACACCATAAAATGGAAAATAATAATTACATAAGACCAAGCCAAAAGTGGCTAAGTGTGTGGGATACTGTAACTGATAAATTGAGAATAAGTTAAGAATGATAAATCGTATTTCAGTAGCCAATATGTCAATGAAGGCTTATGGTCAAAGGCTTATGAACATATATACTTACTAATTATGTATAAAATAATAGTCCATAATAACTCTTAGAAGATACCATTCATTTGTTCTTGGTTCGGATATAACAAAACCAAGGACCTACAGTCTCGTACGTGAATGCTTGACCTTTAAACCACTGGGTCAGCATTCGATGGTTTTAATGTCTAACTACAACTAATCCACGATATTGCGCGGCCATCTCTCACTGACTTCGGTGGATAACTGCCTCACACTCGGCACGGTTGAACTCCACTGATCGCGGCACAGTGGTCTAGAGGTTAAGCAGTAGTGCGCGAGACCAAAGTTCCCAAGTTCGGGTCCCGCATGCGCACTGCTGAGGAGCCCTACACTAGGACGAAACAGACATTTAGTGCTTCCAGGTTTTTAATAGTAGTCTAACATTAATCGGTTCATGATCTCAATTACAATTCAATAATCCCTACAACCCTATACTGAAAATCGATATATGGCTGGAGATTTTATGGACCAGACATTGAAACTGATTTTAGTATAATGCTTTAGTATAATGCGGTAAATCCTATACTTCTATTTCCTACCTGTTTTACGAGTAATATTTTCCATTCTAGGTTTTTTTCTATCTAGTACACTACTAATATTTTGATTTATTTGATATTCACTTTCTCGATTTCATCTAGTTGTGCTGATGTAGTGTGACGACTTGGATAGATACACATTTGTGTCGTTGATACTGACTGACTGACATTTGTGCCACATTATTTTTGTTTATAACTGGCTAAAATTAGTCGAACACAAAAGTCATAGTTGACCTTCGAAACATTATCTTCTCTTAAATTTATGCTTTATAAAGAAGCATTTACATTGAAACTTTTTACATTTAAAAAACAACTAAAAACTAAGTAATAAATTTGTACGGTGGTTAAATGTTATGGACACGCTGTAACAAATACAGTACAAATGATTTGAAGAAAAAAACTTTATACGAGAAACAAGGGTTACCCAGCACTGATTTCTTCACAACTAAGATCTTTAAGTATATCAACCGAAGTTAGACCAAAAACATATTCCCCAATTTGGAAAAGACATGGATCGGGAGCGAATTGAACTTTTTCGTATGATGATAACTAGAAACAATAAATTATATTGAATATGAAAAAGAAACTATACTAAATAATCAAGGAGGATTTAATTCAGACTAATGGAATGCTTATAGTATTATTCACATTAATGCCAATATTTACCTTGGTAATTATAATTTACGATAGAAATACACATTATTATTTCTAAGCTAACAGAGTAATTAGACAATGTTATACTTTTTGCAATAAGCAAAATATTGACAGTATTCTCAAGAATACAGAACAACGAACATGGAAATAGATAAATCACAGTCAAACACATTTAGTTTCAACTAACAATGTGCAGGATGATAAAGATGACTAATTGATGTAAAAAATAAAGCATTCAAACCTACACTTCCACTCATATTGGGAAGTTAGACAAAATTAATAGATCTGTAAATATTTGGACTAAAAATTAAATGGAGGAGTTTAAAACTATTATTTTTCAGTTCTAAAACTTTATCACTAAGCAGAGGTTTCACATATTTTAATAGTTAGCTAGTCTATCGCAACCAAATTCAGTCAACTAGTAAATGAGGAAACATTTAAGAAATGATTCTTAATAGTTTGGGAATGCTCTGCATCTGTCAAGAAATTTATCTAGCGTTATGTTAAATTAGTCGATAAAGTTCACATTAAAGCATAAATACCTACATAACAAGTAGATTTTTAAAAAATCATATCAGATAACAAATCATAAAAATAAACACATTCACAGTACTGACCAGATGTGGTGTCTTTTCTATCCACGACTTGTCGATAGGTGGAGTCGGATACACTGGATCATGATGTAATTCTCTCCAGGAGGAAATAATTATCAACCTTATAGATAAATGACTGCACCATTCACTGACACTATTCACTCTAGATTGGAATAATTCTTCGTAAGTAGTTTCAGAATAAGACTAATAATGGTTTGGAATATAAATATAACGATTAGTAGGAAAAATATATTCGATTGAATATTTAAGCACTATTTATTTGAATTTAAAAAAAAACTTTTTTTAATAGAGAAAGTTCTTACGATAATCGAGATAGGAATCTTTTACAGTTTACATAATTCGATCATGATAATGTCAAAAACAGTCACATGAGCAGTTCTCAAAGCGTATGCTTTACAATAATGGATTTACCAGGAATTTTGTGGAGATTTTTTAGAAATTTCAGTAGTTGAAATCATGAGTCAACTGAAACTAGACCACCATGGAAAACCTGGAAACACTGGACGGCCGTCTCGTCCTAGTATGGGACTCTTCAGCAGTGCGCATCCACGATCCCGCCCCCCCGCGAGATTCGAACTCAGGACCTGTCAGTCTTGCATGTGAACGGTGTTAATGTTTAACACATTAACACCGTTGGATGCCTGCTCGGTGATCTAGAGGTTAAGCGTTTACATGCGAGACTGATAGGTCCTGAGTTCGAGTCTCGTGGGAGGCGGGATCGTGGATGCGCCTGCTAAGGAGTCCCATACTATAACTAAACGGCCGTCCAGTGTTTCCAGGATTTTTATGGTGGTCTAGCTTCAATTGACTCATGATTTTAACTATTGAAATAATAGATTTAGTTTTATGAAATATTCACTAGAATTTACAGTTATCCGGAAAATGTTCAATGAAACATGCAAGGATAAATGAAATTTAAGTTTAGGCTGTTGTCCCCGAAACGACTTAAAACAATATGTAACGAGAGTACTTTATGGATCTGATTTATTTTTGAATACGCTGCAGAAGATCTGATAACCAAACAGTATAGCTTTACAGAAGGTAAAAAAATGAAACAGCTTAGTCACAAATATATCAGGTAAGCAAGATTGCTTTAACAAACTGGATATGATTTAAAGTGCTTTGACTTAGTACCAAAAACTTGGCGACCATAGGGAGATAAATGAAACTGGAAAGAAACCGCCGACTGAATAGCTCAGAGAACCAAAATGGAAAGGAATAATTTTACTGGTCATTTGATTTACATGAATAATACACGTCTGAATTAATAATTGAACATGTATTCGAGTGAATGGTTTGCACTAACTTTATTTTCATGATCTACAGAGATACATTCATGAGAAAAGTATTTTAATAATCAGTATGAGGGGATAAATACGAACATTTTGTTCAAATTAGCCAGTGTCATACACTGGAAACAATCAAAACTTTTATTTCTATGTCTTATAAACCATGGTGTAATATAAATAGATGAATTTATGATTTTTATTGGTATCACGAGCCGACCTAAGTTAGACATCCATTGAAAACTAGGAAGCACTAGACGGATGTCTCGTCCTATCCTCAGCGGTGTGCATCCACGACCCTATTGAGGGTTGAGCCTAGAAACTTCGGTTTCGCAGCAAACGTCTATTCTATAGAACACTCTCTGCTCAAACATTCCCTTTTTTCAAGATGATCATATCGATCGCTCAAATTTGTTTGTATAGCTAAACATGGTCAAATATTGCTATTGAATTATTCATAATAAAGCATAGGATAAATAAGATTGACTTGATCTTTTCGTAAATAAGAAGTCAGTATATATAAAGATGCATTCAGGACGAATCTCTCATGAATTGACCAGTTCGATAGAAAAAACAGTTAGGAGAGGATGTGGATTTAAAGTACCGATGATACGATAATTTAAAACAGCTATCATCATAGACTAACTTGACAGTGCAAAATAAACTCGTCCGATAATTATGCAGTACTTATTCACTGCCTTCTGATCCATATAATTAAATAGATACTAATTTTAGATTATTATTATTATTATTATTATTATTATTATTATTATTATTATTATTATTATATCCCAGTTACTTCCACACAACAATATAAAAAGTTTCCAAAGGTAGTACTTATAATATACCTGAATACCAGGATGCTCCGAATCAACAAACGGTCCAAGCAGGATGAGAACATGGGGTTTAGATTGTTTGACGGAACGCAATAAATTAAAAAGGCCTGTAGGATCATGTGAATTTGAAAGAGTATAAGGGCCACAGGCCACCATAATATGCAGGTTTCCCACTACAAAAGTAAGTTTAGCGAATGTGAAAAACATGAGGTTGAAATGTACAATGAAGTGAAGTTATAGTTAGATTACAGTTATTATGATCGAAACAAGTGTCACATAATTATCAAGGTCATGTGTTGACTCATTATAGTCACCACAGATTTGTTCGCTTATCATCCTTAGTGTACGATGAATCAAATAATGATTAGGTTTTTCAATATCGGACACAAAAGTAAGTATAACTCAATAAAGATCTCGTACTCGACTTTGGGCCGTACTTTTGATGTGAAGAACAGAGAATTTCTAGCTGCTCAAACCGCGAAAGAAGAAATAGCATCTGAACTAAATGGGTAAACACATGAACTGAAAAAGAATTTCAATAACGACTTAGGAGAATTTGGTCTTGCATACATTGATGAAGACACAGAAGTAGACTAATTGATACGAAATGGCCACAAAAGACCAGATTCAGATTAATAGTATATTTCAATGGAATCCAACCACCAGTAGTCACATTGTAAATCAACTAAACTGTGCAGCTCATCTTTTGGTAAGTTTGCAGGCATTTCCTAAAGTATTATCATGGTGAAGAATAAAAAGATACACACTAGCATTACCAAAGGTCTCAGTAGTTATAACATCACATCCAATAACAATTACAATTACTCACAAATACTTGAATGGGTGTAGTTAGAAAAACTTGAAAGTTATAGTTAATATAGTGTACAACAGCGTAAAGCATGTAGTGCGATGTTTGAAGCTCGCAATAGTTACCAACTTTGTCTCTATATATCATAATAGATTAGATTAAACTTTTTGTAGAGATTAGTTTAAATTGTAGGTGGCATTAGTAGTGGACTGAGCTCATTTGAAGTGTTGTTGAAAACCAGAGAGCACTGGACATCTATTCATCCTGTTATGACTAAAGTAGTGCGCACCTACGACTCCATCAGAGATCAAGCCGAAGAGCTCCAGGCCTCGCGGTAACTTTGACTATTAGATCATTTGATGTCAATCTTGGCGAAACGATCATCTAGTGGAGATGGTGACAGCTGCTGAGAATCCCCATACTGGAAAAAAACAGCTATTTAATGATCACTGGTTTTCAGTGGTATCAACAAGACTGAGCTTTGTCGGTGACAATAACCATATATATATACTGATATCCGAGGACAGCTACCGCCTGACACGTTAAGTACCGCACATGATAAACTTTATGATTATAAAGATAAACTTACAGCATTTATCTGGATTAATAAAAGGGGGTTTTGAAATAGGTATCTAAAAGATTTCAAAAAAATTAGTGAATACAACTTTGACATTAAACAACTTAGAAATAGATAGTAGTGATCAATATACAAAGACTTACCAAACATTCATCAATATGAAGTCGAATTGCATACAGCACAGTGGTATATTGTTCTATTATACGGTTCGAAAGCATGAACCATTAGAAATACAACATTACAGGTGTTTTCAAAGTAGTGAACACGTATGGTAAAAACAACAGATTAGTAATGCTCAGTTCAGGCAGGTAAGTGAACCTGTATTAACAGAAGCATCGCTTGTAAACCATAAGCCAGTTCTAACACTGGCTGTAATAGTGACAGAAGTCCCAGTGGTAGGGACTAAGGTATAATTATCACAGTTAAGGTGAAAGAAAGATAATCGAGTTCTCATGATGTGTGAAACATGAATATGAATAGATAAACATCTGAATAAAGCTCATAGAACAGTGGAAATTGATGAATGAGCAGCTTAGGTTACGTGGCTTAGGAATTATTTACAGAAGGGATCATGGATTTGTCATCCAAATTTCTCCAAACAGCAAATATATTGTAAATCTACTTATATCTGATTTTACGTTTATTAGATTCGCTTTAGTTTGTTCACTGAGATGATTTGAAACACATCCGAAAAAATTAACGGCATGTTGTACCAAGTCCCTTATTTCCTCATATATCTCTAATGTAATTTTATTATTTTTACACCTATTTGTCCTCATATAATTTTTATGATGGTAGCTATACATGATTTAGCATGGAGATTTTAGAAAGGTGTGCATGAGGGATTGGTATTATTCTGAAACAAACCAAATAAACTAGCAGTAATCGTTTTGTTATTAAAATGTAATTATGGGTTTACAATCTCATATATGCTCCCAAACAAGTCTTTTTTCACAAGTCCTTATCTTTGATTGACACAAAGATTTTTAAAGTTGTAGATCCTAACTACGGTTCATTTAAAGTAGACAATGTGATTGTGAGTGGTATTCCTAACACTTATAATGAGTATGTTTCAAATCCTATATATGTTAATTTTTCTCAAGTTATCATACAAGAGGGCTCCATAACTTTCATAAACTTGAACGATAAGTGGTCGAAACCATTTACAGTATAATTAATGCTTTATTATGTTGAACGAATAAGCATAGACTATCATTCTCAAGAACTCCTTTATAGGGTAAAAAGAAAGGAAACAAACTATAGTAAACATTTATGACAAACCTGGAAAATTTCCATTACACCCAGCGAATGACCTGTAGGGTTGACACCACGAATCAAAAGTGGTTGACCTGAATAAACAGAATAACAAGATAGATCTTTCGAAAATCCCAAGTCCAAAGGTACGGCATCAGTTTCGGATCCTGAACGTTCGACTCGGCGAAGTCCAACTAGTGCAACATTTGATACGTGTAGACGAGTTTTGGTTTCAGTAATAAGTTTACTGTTCTCAGCGATTTGAGAAGATTCACTAGATCCTTTGATAGGTACTGATAATTTTGCAGAAACTCTTCCAGGAATGAGAGATGAAGCTAGGACACGCGAAAAAACTGGTCTCAACAACGTTGTACGTTCCAGTGTAGAAGTTTCAGTTCTCGTTGGTTGACAGCATTCATTTTTATTGATTAATGACGATAATGAGTCACTAGATTGATAGTTGGATTTTAAAAAATGATACGATTTTACAGCATAAGTATGAATAAAGTCAAGGAATTTTTATTCAGTGAATATTAATTTACCATTGCTTGGTAATAGAATGTATCAATTAAAAGGTGTACAAAATCAGCATTTGCATAAAGAAATATAATTCTGGAGATATGTTCATAATTACTACTAGGAAAATTCAGATTATGCCCTTTATGCACATTTGTTTTCACCAAAATCAAAAGATATATCTTTTAAATTTCAGCAAATATGTTGGACTAGGAATTGAAACTAGACGGTAGAGTTCGTTAAAATGCTAACATATAAAACATTATTGCCTGAAAATCGTTCAACTATCAAAGTGTTAGACATAGAACTAGGATGGTTTGCTTTAGTAACAGTTAACTGAGAATTTACTCTGAAGGAAATTACGGATACAACACTGCCAATAATACTGTTACTGTTGTAACATGGTTATTTCGTGAGGTTTTATTAACAATTGACTAATTAAAAGACCACTCGATTTTCACTCTCGAAATCCATTTCAAAGAACCGTCATTTGATTATGTCCATAATCTCTTTTAGGTGCCAATGGATTTGTCAACACATATAGGAATTCGTCTCCAAGTTAATTGATAGTCGGTTAAATGATAAAGTACTTTTCTTACTCCAATCAAATATAAACACTCGCCAACATATTTCACATTTAAAGACACAGTTAGATACCAAAATAAACCTAAAACATTGATCAATACATTCAATAACTTATGGGGGAAATACTTTTCTTACTTAAGCTTTTCACCAAGTTTAACCCATACAACAGTGGGCAGAAATTTAGTAGTTAGTGACAATACTTTTCGAAGACGGATCCCCGATATTGCATCACAGATTAAGCAAGACAACAACTTTCGATCAAAACATTTAGTTAATTCATTTGGTTTATTAAGTGTGTATGACTAACGGTTCAATATTTAGGGAGAAACAGATAAGGATTGAGATTTCGTCCTGTTTTTAAAAATATTACTATAATAGATGGAAAACTTGCCGACTTGTAGGTTGAGATTGTTGAATATTCTGATCGCCTTCAACTAATGATCCTTCAGGTATGTTACTCAAAACACGTTTGATTGTTTCCCATGTCCAGTTGTCAATAACTGTATAGGAAAAAAACAACGCATGATATATTTATACATGGGAAAAATTAAAAGTAGCCAATCTAAGAAAGTAATTAACATATAAGTAGGTAATATCACAAAAATACCTTTGTGAATAGCAATCCTTAAAAAGGTACAGTATTGACCGACATTATAATTGTTTAATGTGCAATTTTGTAGATTATTTTATTCGTGGTCAGAGAAATATCTCCGTTAATGTTATAGGAGGTTTAGAAATGCATAGAGACACCAATCCACTTTTTAACCGCCACATTATTACACAAGATTATGATTTCAGGTCACATTCTAACATTGATGGCTACGCTAACATCAAAGTCAGTCCACTACAACGTAGGACCAGGCACATATATACATCGGTCCAAGTTGCCACACCTCATTAGCACAACAAGATGAATACCGAATTCATAGAAGTTGTCACTTCAATGGTAGTAATATATAAAGAAAGATTGTGCATAAGGATATACCACAGGAAGAAAGAACTAGTTGGTGGAAAGGAATGTAGAAAGCAATTTTAATCTCACAGTTTAAGGGAAGACAAAGAGTGTATACACCTATACCATTGTGATCGATTCTGAGCCATGTCTCCCAGGCTCCCAACATTGGTTACGATAGTCTTGCGGACCTCAACAAACTAGTTTGCATCAACCAAAATGGCTCACACCAGAAGTTGGTGATTTCAAGGGCTGATGCCACGTTTTGGTTTGGTCGCCCTCAACTTACTTCCAACCATCCACAACACTTGTCAGCATTGCATGTCGTGGTAATCGATGGTTGGGCTTGCGTAACACATGGCCCAACCATCTCGGTCGATGAAGATTTACAACCTCATCAACTGATTTACCATCATTCCCTAATACCCCGCGTCTTTCCTCACTATTACTTACCCGGTAATCCCAGCGGATGATGGCAATATTTCTAAGACATCTGTGATCAAACATTAGTAGCTTACGGGTATCTTCTACTCCTAACAGCCACATTTCGCAGCCGTGAAGTAGGGTAGAATGAACTGCCGTGCAGTATACTCATCCTTTAATTGATAAACGGATAACTCATTTTCTCCGAATAAGCTTTTCGAATCCATGCTGATATTTCGTCAGACACCAACTCATTAGGGCTGGTCAGACTTCCAAGACAAGTGAATTTGTCGACGCGTTCGATTGCTTCACTCCCTATCCTTGGTTCAGCTGTCGGCGCACGTTAGTTCTAAAGCAACAATTTACATTTAGAAAGGTACAAACGCATCCCAAACATCCTGGGATTGTTTCTCAGTGCTACCAAAAGACTGTATTTTATCAGCATCTTTACCAAACAGAACTACGTCATCAGCGTATTCTAAGTCGATAAGTGCGCCTCCTGGTGGGAGATCAATGCCTGAAAATTCTCCGATAAAACGGAGATTTCACTGTCACTAAAGTGATCAAAAAAAGACTAAATTTAAGACAACACAAAGTTTGTCCCTATGATGCTACGAAGCTGTACGAAAAAATTCGTATGTTACTAGTAGCATTATGCCTACGTTTCTGAATCGACAAGATAACTTCTACTTATTCATTTGACCTTTCAGAAGATCAAAGACGCGATAATTTCCTACGATATCGGTTTCAAAATAGTATTAATTGTCTACGTGCCCACAAAAGCAATCGACTTTACTCTGGATAAAACCAATCGTCGTCTTTTTTCGTCTACCTACTTTCGACCTGTCCATATTTGAAGAAGGGAAATTGCTTTACTCACCATTCCCCAGCATCTATGAACAGATATCGAGTTATAAAATGCCTTTGGAAACCTAGTATTGGCTAAGATATTTTGATAAGCTAAAAGCGACTTTACTCGTTATTTTCATGGTTTATCCGGGCCCCCTAAGCAAACCATCTGCTTCGGTCTGGGCGCCCGGGCATCATCACAGCCAACACACAAGTCAAGTGAGTCAAGATGAGTTTAGCGTACACTATATCATAATCAAAATTTAAAGAGGTGATACAAAGGAGTGGCAGTTACAAATATATTCACGTCAAAGGTCCGAAACATCATAGCATAAATCTTGATCAAAGCACTCATCTATGCGAGTTACCAATACAAATGAAAAAACAATAGAAGCAAAAGCTCAGTGGCACGCTGAATATCATAAAAACTGAGAAACGACAATCAAAACAAGTAGTTTCACTGAAAGAGAAGCATAAGATATTATTATGTTAAGGATATCCGTACATGAGCTAGTTATCATCCCAAATTTTAACCTTAAATTATGGGCACTTTGGGCAATTAAGCCAAGAAGTCTTTACCATTTTGCATAGGTGAAACCAAAAGTCAGTGGTTTCATTAGTTGATTCGATGTTGTAAAATGCTAATACTTAGCTTTAGCCAAACTTCTGTTTGTAACAAAGATGGTTGGTACAATCAGCTACCAAGAAATTTACAAACGTATTCTTATGTTAATCAGTAGAGGGGGTGGTAGGAGGTGACTGAATATAAGCAACGTTATTAACCATTTAAATAAATGAATATTTACAACATCATGGACTTGTAGATTATTTTATTATCCAACCTGTAAATGAAGACTCACTAGCGACTCACACTTGTCCCTAAACGCCCAAACTGAAGTAACTAACTGGCATTAAGATATCAATTAATTGTGTTTGGTCAGGAGTAGAACCGATCCCTGTTTTCAGCTGGACTATGGCCTGTTAAAATGTGTATTTGTTACGTGTTATTTATCTAACTTGGCGATACATAGGACACTACAATGAAGATTACAACAATTTGTGCTGGTTGATCAGGCCGAGCGCATGTCAGAGTAACTGGATTTATTAACACGAAACATCCAGTTATATGCAGCGCAGAACCTGGCGAATGTGTGCTGCTACTCTCCATTAACACAAAAAGGTAAAAAGTCGAAGTAAATCCTAGATTAATAAAGGTAGTAACATTATTAATGGTAATAGAAAAGACTGGGCATAGAAGATGTGATTCGAGGAAATATAGATTTGTTATGTCCCGATAAGAATAACGAATGGTAATTCTTGGGATCCATTTATGGGCCAATGCTATGAGTAGATTTTTATCGTGTAATTGTTATGTAACTAAGCTGTTCATATTCATGTCCCTCTTATTATGAGTTTATTTTGACCTATAAACTATTATTATGACCTGTCTATTAATTACTATCTCCCTCATTCACAACCACTTTTGGCTAAATATTGTACAAATGTTGTTTAATATTTTATGGTACGTTGTGGTCGGTTTGATTAGTATCTAAACCCCGTATGTTTGAAGTAAATGATTCATATTACAGAGGCTGAGATTGGTGTTCTGGACTTAACTGGCTGGGCAAGGCGGGAAGCGAGACCGATCAGAGCTCTAGGCTGCTCGCTTGTGTTTTATGCGTCACTGGTTCAATCGATAATTTCGCTGCTCTCTGGTGGTATCGTTGCGTTATCCAATATGCAGGGCACACAGGCTCACAAGTTATAACAACTGGCGACGGGGAAGGGATTCAAACCCACGCGGTGAAACCCCAGTAAGCACATTCATCATCACAAGTTATAACAAGATTAGTAGAATGAAAGAAAATTTTATAAAGCTACAGTCTGGATGAAAACAAAGAGTGAATATACCTTCGCCAGTGCAAACGATTGAGCCACATCGCCCAAAGTTTCTAACTATTGGTTAGGCACGTGAAGCATTTATAAAACTCATCGATAACGGATAATTTTGTATTATAGCGCGTCATGAATATAAGACTCTGAAATGGAAAACAAATCATTATCAAGGCTGCTGAGTCTTTGTTTGGTTTTCATTAAGGTGGAAATAATTAAGACAAGTCTAGACAGTTACTGTTCTTAAATGACCAGTTTAAGAATACGACTGTGTAGCAACTTCAAACTATTTTGGAGGCCGTGGGTTAGTGGTTAAGGCGTTTGACTTTCAACCACTAAGCTCCAAGTTAGACAACCCGATTTATCTACTTTGATTTAGGCAACCAGTTATTATTAGCCTTCACATAGACTGTGGCTCATATCGATTTACCGGGAGGATGAGTTAATTATTAGTAATATAACACAGAGAAGTGAGTGGCCAGCTACCTAGACAGTTTTTAATCACAACAAATATTTGATCTAGGGACCTGATTTACGAGGCAGTGAAACAATATTGGATAATGTATTCTGGTAGGAGTCGATTATTGAAGCGGATTTGTAAGCTACTCAATCCTTTAAAATTTAAAGCCGGAGTATGAAATCACGGTTGTTTATTCTTCCTACTTACCTGAGTCACTAGAAATAATAATTTTAGATATTTGCTAAGTAAAAGTCTGTGTACTTAGCTCTGATTCACTCATTCTATGACAAAGCTTGTACCAATACCCGGTTTCTCATACCGAAGTATGCGAAAGGGTAGGGAACAACATGCAGTGTAGAGTATAGAGGCTAATGCATATATGTGCCTGATCCTACGTTGTAGCTGACTGACCGATAGAGGCTGATACTACAATGTTAGCAAGAATCTTACGTCTACCATTTGCAGGTTTAGTAAGGTGAGGCCACTGACTTCCAACAATGCAACCCTGAAACGAGGATTTCGGTGCTGTGGGTTTTGATGTTCTTAAAATGAACGTGACAATTAGTCATTGTTAATTTTGGTGAATGCGTTGGTTGAAGTAAAGTCGAACTCGTTGACACCTAAACTGCTAAACAGCTACCCTATGGAAAAATCTTGAGAAAATTGAGCCCACCTCTTTAAAAGAAAAACCAACGGATAAAAAACCGAGTGGTGTTACATATTTATATTCAGAGTACTGTATTGTGTTGCATCAGCAACACCCGGTTGAAAAAAAGCTTAGTTCTCAACAGAAAAATTGATGAAATGTAGCCCGAAAAGATAATGTACATGGCTGATGCTTTAAAGGCATAAGCGAATGAGCTAAACATAATAGTTTTGACCTCAAGAGTTACAATCAGGAAAACAAGTAAATATCAGGATATTAAATGAGAATTTATTTGACGCTCGAGATGTTCGATCTCCGTAAAATAAATCTAAAACCGATAGTATGATAGGCCAATTGAGGTTTCTTGGAAGTGACGAAGACGGAGTTTACGCTTGTAAAGACATGTCACATATCGACTATTTACACGACGAAAAAAGGTCTAAAATAATCCTAAAATCAGACAATACAATAGTGGATTTACGGGGGGAAATGCTTCTGAAATAAATCTGCTGAATAAACTATTATAACGTAGTGTTCTGAATGACTCACACAGATGAGACAATTACAAGAGCGAAAACTGGATTGGCTTCGTATTTAGATAGTAGTGACGAGATCTCAGCATGGATTCGAAAAGCTTATTCGGCTTTTGCCAACTCACGTCACCTATGGCGAAAGTGAGATATCCGTTTATCAATTAAAGGATGAGTATACTGCACGGCAGTTCGTTCTACCCTACTTCACGGCTGCGAAACGTGGCTGTTAGGAGTAGAAGATACCCGTAAGCTACTAATGTTTGATCACAGATGTCTTAGAAATATTGCCATCATCCGCTGGGATTACCGGGTAAGTAATAGTGAGGAAAGACGCGGGGTATTAGGGAATGATGGTAAATCAGTTGATGAGGTTGTAGATCTTAATCGACCGAGATGGTTAGGTCAGGTGTTTTAATGTATGACAAGCTTGATGGAGAGTAACACACAACTTAAAGTGCTCGAGACGTGCTCTTTAAAGAGGACAATCCACACTATCTTAAAAAACTATCCTGTTAAAAGTATTTAATCGTCAATGCTGTGAGCGAAAAAATTAGGTGGAACCACATAGCTTTCTGGAAAGTGATACGTTTTAGAGTTTCTGTCTTATGAACTTATCAGGCAGGATAGCTTATATGACCCAAGAGATCAAAAGTCATTTGCAGATTTATGTTTATTGGTTCCCGTAAAATTCTTAAGAAATCTAGGTACCAGATTATTAACTATGTCAGAAGTGGAGAAAAACCCATTTTTATAACAAAACTCCCTATTACACATCAACTAAGGGCAACCAATAACTTCAAGTTATTTAATCGGAAACTAGTATTAAATGGGACAATATAAAAAATGATGGTCAGAGAATTAAGGTAGTTGCTGTGATATGTATTAACAGATATTCCTGGAGATGCAATTAAGAGCACATCGAAAACATTCGTTTGAAAAATACCCAGCACTACTAAACTACACGTTCAATCACGGGTCTATCAACTTCAGTCTGAGCAGTCAGGTAGTAGTAGTATCACCAACTCAAAGTATATCGCAAATACATAAACGTGTATTTGGTAAATAGGTTAATTAAATCCAAATACTCGTAATTCTAACAACAGCATCCTTGACCCACATTTCCGGAATGCTGAAGCAAGTTAGTATAATAATAATAATAATAATAATAATAATAATAATAATAATTGGTCATGCAATAAACTTAAACAGATGATACGAAAAGAATTAGTTGTGACGGATAAAATTGCATGTGTATAACACTAGGACTTCACTGTAAAAATCAAACCTACTCTCTGCATTTTCTAAGGTGTGTTGGTTCATGTATCGCTTTCCATAGGCTCCGGTAGTCAGCAGAATTGGAGTCCAGTCAATGAAATCAGTTATACCATTACAGATAAGCGACTCAACGGCGTCTGAAGGATAAGACGCTATCAGCTGAGTTTCATGGAACTCAAGTTCAGGTTCATTTTCTATGAGTAAAACAAGGCTACATTTTTATAGTCTTTATAAGTACCTTTGTCTGATGGAATTAATCGTCCATTTGGTACAGGAATCAATGGCTTCGAAACACCGTAGGAACTCAAAAGATCTCTTTGATCGCTGCAAGCTTCCGCAACCATCCTAGAAAATGAGCACTAAAAAGATGACCATACAGCTCTTGCAACATATTTTTTGTCAACAAGCTCTTTGCGGATTTTGGAACATGTGATCTAGGGGTCCGAGTTTTAGCGGTGTCGAGTTTTGCCGACGTCTTCAATGTGAGATTTATAAGTCAGATTTACCTCTCTGTCAAAAAGTTCAACATTTTTTAGTGAAATACGATCAGGTAGATCGGTATTCCGTTGAAAAGCAACATATTTTTCCACGAGTGTACTAGCGTTTAAGCCCCACCTTTCGCCCAAAAAGCTTACTAGATAGAACCGTCACTTTTTGTACGCAATTTACATTTCTCAAGGACAACCTTATCGTCAACGATAAGCCCAAAAACTTGCAACTCTTCCGCAATTTCATCGACCTCCATAGAGTTAGAAGGCGCGCTGCTAACTCCTCTAATAATATCTGACATAGAAAAACAAATGTAGCCGCAAATAGATTTTCAGAGACTTGATTCCATATAGACTTGCATAACTGAACATAATTCAACACAGGACTTTCAGACAACGTCCATATTTACTTTACTTGATTCTTGCTACTATTTTCAAGTACTTGATTGGTCCCGGCATAGAATACCTGGACTATCTCACTGTGACGTGACCATCCAGTGCATATTGACCACTTGGGCCTTCCCAAGTCAATTGATAGTGTTGGTCACCGCATTGCGTGCTTAGAAAACCGATTTTTAGGCGTATAATTAAGTATTTGGAGATATGGCTCTCACCTACCCTAACCAGAAATTGTAAACCATCATGGTTTCCCTATTGTCATTTCGGTTCCTTTGAATATCGGTAAGTGCAGAGTGATAATGGGACTTCATTAGAAGACTTGTGTCATACTCTTGACCACTGAAAAAACCCGGGCATCACTTTTGGGTCCTAGACATCTTTGTTATGTGCTCAAGGGATCCGTAGCCTCTTCTCTACTGGAGGTTATCAAGCATAGATGATCAGCATATTCTATGTGTGAGATTTTCCAGGTTACAGTTTGTCCGTCCTTTAGGGACGGTCTATCGTTTAATTTTAGACTTGCTGAAAGACTAAATTGGGGAGAGTAAAGCCCTCTGTTGCTTTACCTAACTCTGTTCGGAACGGTGAAGTAATGATTGGTGTATTTGAGGTAGCCCATGGAAATTAGGCCATGGATGTTGGTAGGCTATTTGATGAACAGGCTTTAACTAGGATATCAGTGATAAGTTGTTTTGGGAGGGTATCAAAATACTTTGTTAGGTCTGAGACAGTGATTGCAAGATCCATTTCGAAAGTTTTGTGTGTGACCCCCCCCCTATGTATACACTTGTAATTTATTCCTATTGATTCCTTTAGTTGTACGTTTTGCTAGTCTGTTTGATTCAGTTTGAGATGGTTACGTTCGCATTTTATCAGTTTTATTTTCCTTACGCTTTTACTGAGCCTCCCTGTTTCTTCTTAAGCTGCATTTATGTTGTTTTAGTTGATACTTAGTCTTGACGGCAGCCATATTTGATTGTTCATCCTCTGATTATGTTGCTTGTATTGACTGGGTTGTGCATTTTTGGTTGTGAACTGAAGAGCTCATCCAGAATTAAAAACAACCAAAATTTTTTCTAACGAATCTGTATGTGATCTATCCAGAAAGGATAGAATGGCATTTATTTAGTGCGGTTGGTAATCTAGACAACCACCTAGAAGTAAGAGTCGGCGTCAACTTTCAGTCCGCAACCTTTGAGATACAAAAAGGATTAGAATGGAAGTGATACGTGTGCACTACATTGTACACTACATTGCTTATCACTTTTTACACATGGACGAGTTGCTGATATACTTCATTTCATAACTTACAATGTTATCTATTCAAAATAGAAGTACGAGTTCGAAATGAAAATTCAGTCAAATGTCTTCTGAAAAAGAACTAGTTATCTGTATAACCCCTTCCTGGAAGCGATTGTATTGCCCCACTCTTCTGGAAAGCTTTGATGTTTATTTCCGTCCTTCAAGTATTGAGAAAGATCGGACGGTTCAAGCGGTTAAGAAAGAAGCAGGAGCCTGAGCTCAAGTATCATCTTTTCGTACCTAATAGCTGGGGACTACTGATGCTCTCATCCAGGGATCCAGATATATTTGGCAGGAAAAAAAGCAATAATAACAAATTACAGTAAATTACTGTTTGGAGTCCTCAAGTGTATATCAAGCGCCCTATATGGAAGTCGCTTGATCAACTGCCGCCAGTGAGTTCCAGGATTCGAATATGCGTAAAGGGTAAGTCCACCCACGGTGCAGGGCACATCTATGTATGTTAAGGTGGTATCAGTAGATGCATGGGCAACAACAGACCGGATAAACATACATATACTACTTGTTACATAGAAGTACCATATAAAACTTGACCACAGTTTTTAAGCTGCCCAAGCAAAAATTTGCCTCCGATTTTCTTTCCTCTTAAAACATAATTTACGATGACACATTAAAATAGTTCACAAGCTCACAAGAACTTACTTGTCGGATGACTATTAAATTTTTCATAGATTCATTCACTGTTAAAACGCGTTACTCCAACACATGATAAAAGCTCTGTCTGTCATATCATTGAATTTGAGCCAATTAATAGGCTACTACTTTCAGGACTATCTTACGCCACCTATCTCTTGTTGTTTTCGAACTAAGGCTGAAAGTGATCTTAAAATGTGAGTTATTTAAACGCCATTTGAATTAAAGATACCACAAGTAATTCTAGTTTGATAGCGCATTAACCAGTAACGCCTATAATTGAATCGTGCCCACTCAGTGAAATCAAAATCAGAAGCGACGAAGTTCAAAGATAAAGTTGGTAGGCTATTAGTATATCTAGGATCGAATGATCTAAACTGGCTAGCGATTACAGGAGATGTTGAGCACGAGGTTCCCACTTGTGATCCGGAGCAGGTGCATGACTGAGCTCTTTCAGCCAGGTAAGTCCATTAAAACGAATGTGATCGGCATCGGATATCGAAAAGTGACAGAGGTATCAATTTCGGGGACTTATTTACCACCACAGATCACTCCTCTCCTGGTGGGGGTGGTGATAATACCAGGACACGACCAGTCAGAAGTTTAAAACCAACGAGTTTGTCCTTGGTAGACACTCTTCTGACAGCTTGCAATGTTCATCAGCGTCTGGTTGGCTTTCCTTACTATAAGAGGGCATGTGGTAAAATATAATAACGAAGAAACGGATACAATAAAAAATTCGGTTCATCGTAAAGTTCGTCTTTTCCGGCCGTTCGGAAAAAGAAAAAGGGATATGTAAGTCTATGTCGAATTATACTTGTACGAAACGGGCGAAAAAAGAAAAAACTAATATATATGCGTTTTGTAGAAATGCGATTGCGTGAAAGCGATTTATACAGAAGGGAATTTCGAAAAAATACAAATATACACATAAAAGCGAGAATACTAGCAACAAAAAATAGTTTTTTGGAATAAATAAATAAATATAAGCATATTAAAATTTGTTTGCTTGTTTTTATTTTTTAACATAATGCGACGAAAAATCGTGACGAAACAAAATGTTATTCAGTGCTTTACCTGCAGTAATCGTTTAGCTGTTATGAAAACCTTATTCTTCTTTGGGACTCGTTGTTTTGAGTCTGTTGCCAGATACCGTCGAAGTATTATCGTGTTTCTTGACTATCGCATGAGGTATCGTAAATGCAGGATTTGTGTATATCGATTGTACCGAAAGAAAACCGACTTAGATAGGGTTTTTCTTTAAATACGCTGCTTTGATGCTATCGATGCTGATGCTATCATTAGTCCCGTCCTTATCGATTATGAAGTACTTAGATTCGCGCTGAAGAACTTTGAATGGTCCTAAGTATGTTGTTTTGAGTGGTCATCGAACTGATTTCGACCTACAAAGAAGTGTATACTATATCGTAAGCCTGATTGAATGAAAACATTAGTTGACTGAGGTCGAGTGGAAACAGTTTTGACTGAACGTATTGCGTTTGTAATCATCCATATTCGTTGAAGATGTAGGATCCACAAATTCCATTGGAAGTCAGAGTGTCGTTTCATCGGCGAGTTGAGTTGCAGTGTATTCAATATCAGCTTTCGCTGCATTGCGAATACCAAGTAAGATGAGTGGAAGAGCACCGGTCTATAGTCAGACGTTTGCAGCTGATAGAGAGGCTTTCGGCTGTCCGTAAAAGTGTTTTACCAACTCGTTTGCTTGTGAGTGGTAGGCTGTCATTAGTAATCATGTTATTCTTAATAGTGTAGTCAGACAACGGAAAAGTCTAGGTTTGAACTGGCGTTTTCGGCCCGTAGTGATGGTTGAAAGGCAACCGGAGTTGCCTACCCATCACTCGAAGAAGGCTCGGGCCATTGTTTCAGCAGTGGTGTCCTTGATAGGTACTGCTTGTGGCCACCGAGTGAAACGGTCTACTCAAGATAAGAGATAAGAGTATCCATTTGAATCTGGTAAAGGTCCAACCAACCCCAGATGAACATAATCAAAGCGATCATCGAGAGTTGTGAAAGAACCCATTGGATATTCATTGTGTCTAATCACATTAGATTTCTGGCAGCTTATACAAGAGCGTGCCCACTCCCTTACGTCTTTATCCATACCAGGCCAGAAAAATCGTTATGCTATAAGCTAGATGGTTGCACGAACACCTGTATGAGAAAGTTTGTGCAACGTATTGAGGACGTGGTGTCGATTATGTTTCGGCACGACTGGACGATCCCTACCTGTAGATGAGTCGCATAATAAGGACCTATTACTTCTCCCCAACTGTTCAACACGCATTTTAACGGTTGTTGAGGATAACTCGCTCTGAAGAATAGTGTCATCCTTTTGAAGCTGGGTGAGTTCAAGGACATCGATTCCTCGGAAACTGTTTGGGGAAGTTATATGAGACAAAGCGACTGCAAGTGCATTGTTTGCTCCAGAAATGTGTTGAATGACTGAAGTGAACTGCGAAATGTAGTACAGTCGTTCAGACCCTCGAGGGAAGTACTTGTATGAAGCTGAGTTCAAAGAGAATGAAAAAGGTTTTTGATCAGTGAAAATGGTGAATTCTCGACCTTAAATAGAGTGCTGAAAGTGCTATACAGCCCGATACATAGCTTGGAAATCCCTAGTGAAAATGCTATATCTCGATTCGGAGTCTAGCAACCGTCTTCAGAAGAATGTCAAAGGTTGCTAGGATTCGTTAATCCATTGTTCTAAGATTCCCCCGATCGTCGAGTTTGATGCGTCTAGTGCGACACTAATGGATGCTTAGATGTCCTGGTATGGAAGCAGTGTTTCTCTGGCGATAAGTTCCTTAAGTATAACGAATACTTCCCGCGACGTCGTCCAAATCGATGGGTTTTGAATTTTCAAGAAGTTCGGCAGTTAAAGGTCTCATAAGAGACATGTGATTCGGTATGAACCATTTATAAAAACTTAATAAGTGGTTAGACGTGCGTGGTTGCTTGATTGTGGTCAGTTATGGGTAATTAAGAGTTGCCACCGCTTTGCTTTTTAGAGGTCGGGTGCCTTGATCATGAATAACATGTCCGAGAAAATGTCGAGAGTCGGTGCCAGTTTGACATTTCTGAATGTTTACAGTAATGCCGTGCTTTTGCAGCCGTCCAGAGATGATATTCTTTATTCGAACTAGAAACAAAGCAGTCATCAACATATGCATGTACAAAGTTGAGACCTTAAAAAAACGTCATCGATGAATCTCTGGAAAGTTTTAAATAAAAATAATATATTTGTAATATCCCAATGAGTAGAAAATTGGATTTTCTGACGTTTCGTGACTTAGTATAAGTCACTTCTTCAGAGAACAAATAACCAAATTAAAATTCATCCAAGTTTAAATAGTACAACGGAACAATGCAAGAATAATATTGGATGAATCAAAAACAAGTCTGAACAAGTTGATGTCATGTAATTTCTGTCAAGGTAACTGATATGTATGTAAATTTGTGTGTGTGTATATGTGCATTGTTTAAGAATGAAAACTTGTGTGACCTTTATGGTAAGAAAGGATAGAGTTTAAATTTGTAATATGATAGTGTGAAATTGTAAATACAATCAACCCAATGCTCAATTTATTCGAAATTATCAAATCAAACCTTGGTAATGACACCTACTCTGGAAAGTTTGTTCAGCATTCCTTAAGCCGAAAGGCATGTGCGAAAACTCGTAGAGACCAAAAGGTGTGATGATAGTTGTTTTAAGAATGTTGTCGACAGTCATGGAAATTTGGTTATATGCTTTAACAAAGTTCGTTTTCGAAAAAGGTTGTACTTTTCAAGATAGCTGTCAAATCGTGAATGTGAGGTACCGGGTAGCGTTCGAGAATGGTGTTCTCATTCAGTCGCCTATAGTCACGAGTTGGATACCAATCGTTGCTGTCTTTTTTAGGGGTCAAGAATAAGGGAGGTTCTCATGGGCTGTTTGATGGCCAAATGATTCCTAAGCTTATCATATGGTCGAACTCGTTTTTAGCCAACCTCATCTTTTCAGGAGCTAGTCGGCGCGCTATCGAGAATGCGGGTGGTCCTATAGTCATGATGTGATTTGCGACATTGGTGGTCACATGGGAATTTCAGTTGCGTTCGGTATATCTCGGGTACTTATCGGGCATTTGTTGGTAGTATGGATCGTGTGCCTTACTGTGACTGGGTGTTATCTACAACCGGAAAAAGAAGTGACAGAAACAAGCATATTAGTATTTCCATCTGCTAACCTCCGTTTGAGCGTATTGATGAGTAAATCATGATGTTGTAGCAGCTTTATACCAATGATTGGCATAGAAACGTCTGGAACAACGAAAATCCAATGCATGGGTTTGCGTAAGCCCACGTTAAGATAGTCGTACCGTTTACCATACGCGGCGATCGGTTTTCCGTTTGCCGCCTATAAGCTTAAGACTGATTTGTGCAGTCGGTCGTTGGAAATCGCTGGAAGAACGATAACTTCGACGTGGTAGCGAACTTTCGTAACCCCATCAGTGACATATAACGGGCAGCTATGTTCGCCATTTACAGATATAAAACGGTCTATAATTGGCAACTTGATATCACACAGCCAGAGCTTGTTGATGAGACGTATATGGTTATCTCCGTCAAAATGTTTTGAGAATTCGAGCTATATCATTTCTGTCTTCATCTTCCGTTCATACTAGATGTAATTCCATGATCACATCTCTTACTGTTAGCTAATGCTTCTAAAATTGATCTTTAGACGAAAAACAATGAGAAATATGTCCTTCTGTAGCCTGGAGTGTGTCTCCTTCATTAAGATGCCGAGTTCAAAGAACAAACAATCCATCAGTATTTGGACGTTCGAGTTTTGAAGCGTCAAGTTCGTATAAAGCGTTACGGCGTCACTGAGTAATCTCGTAATAACAAATTTAGTCTGCTTCGGGTACGTTGCATTTCCCAATATTTTCCCAATTTTTATTAATATATACGGCTTGTTTTTCTCGTACTTCGACTCGAATAGACTAAATTTGTACTCGTCCCATGATTCATGTCTCGTAAATGGAGGACATATGTCCATATGTAATAGTTTCATTGACAAGTACTGGTAAAACCTCATCACGTTCTTGTTTAAATATATGGCACTTCATCGTGTTTAGTCGTCGGACTAACAGGTATTTGATTTCCGCATGAAGTACCTCGAAAATACTTCGTTGAGGTCAGTAGCTACCACATAATTTCCAGTATTCAGTAATAAGGATATTAGGTTGATGAACGTGTGTTAATCCTAGCTGTTTGTCTTCCAGTGAGGGTTCAGCTTATTGAAAACGTTCATTGATGGGACTGATACCACTTGTTCAGGTAGGGAGTTCCATTCATTAACCACTCGATGACAAAAACGGAATACCACTTTAAGTTTATTAGATCCATGTTTGTGAATCTTCTTGCTACGACCTCGGAAATTATCAGTGCTGGATGGAGCGAAAAGATAAGATTAACTCCCAGATCGTTTATAAATATACAAAATACCAATAAAAGGTCACTTCGTACCCTACGATTCAGATTCAGATTTGTGTAGTAAGGACAGAAGGCCTATGGCCTATGTTATTCCTTTTCCAGTATGCTTCTGTGAGTGTCCAGTCTTCTCTTGAAAGAGTCAGTTGAAGGTGCAGACACCACTGCTTCGGGCAGCAGGTCCCAAATATTGATGACTCGGTGTGAAAACCTGTATGCCATGGGTATTTTGTTCGTTCTTGGTTTTTCTACTCGCCTGCTATGTCCTCTGAGATATCCCGATCTAGTAGGAAGAAAAATTGAGAATAAGTTAGGTCCAAAATCATTTCTCAGTATTCTGTACATCAAAATTAGATCTCTTAATCTGCGATAGGACAGAGTAATGAGGTTCAGCTTTTCAAGCCGCTCTTTGTATGGCAAACCCCGGCGTTCTGAAATTGTACGGGTAGCTGCCCTCTGTACTTTCTTTAGGATATCCGAGTGACCTTTTAAACAGGTGCTTACAGCCTGAACACAGTCCTGAAGCTTAGTTCTCACTAAGGATGTGTATACTGTGGTGAACATGGTAGTATCCAACCTATTGAATGTCCGTTTTAAAGCCTAGAGAGTTCGACTTCCGGGCAATGGGCCGTGGTCTTAAGATCATGACTCACTGTCACCCCTAGATCCTTATGAGACCGGACTACAGGTGATGACACTTCCCCTATGTTGTACCTATTAACCTTTGAATCCCCAAAGTGCATCTGAAGTATTGATAATACTATCCCATCTGATCATTCATGAAACCATGATTTTTTATAATGAGAATGCCATCATACCAACCGATGGTTAGAGACACTGAATGACATGGCTCGAAATCGTTTGCAATAGCGCAAGTGCATTTATTCTTTGTGTTCTCTCAAATTCTAATCTTCTGAATTCTCCTTGTATCTTTTTTCCTCTTTCCAAATATATTTCATTGTATTATACTCCTTGAATAGCATCTTCAAAACCTAATCGGAAAGATTAGGTTACCAACCCTAATGGGCTGGTATCGGACGAAATCTCAGCACGGATTCGAAAAGCTCGTTTGGCTTTTGCCAACTTACGTCACCTTTGGCGAAGGCGAGATATCCATCCATCAATAAAAGGACGAGTATACTGCGCGGCAGTCCGTTCTGCCTTACTTTACGGCAGCGAAACATGGCCTTTAAGAGTAGAAGACACCCGTAAGCTACTAGTATTTGACCACAGATGCCTTAGAAATATTGCTGGCGTCTGTTGGGATCACCGGGTAAGTAATAGTGAGGTTAGACTCAGGGTATTAGGATATGATGGTAAATCAGTTGATGAGGTTGTTAATCTTCATCGACTGAGATGGTTGGGCCACGTGTTACGTATGCCTGAACATCGATTACCACGACGTGCAATGCTAACGGGTGTTAGAGATGGTTGGAAGAGAATTAGGGGCGGCCAAACCAAAACGTGGCATCAGTGCCTGAAGCCACTAACCTCTAGTCTGAGCCATGTTGGTAGATGCAGACTACTTGGTTGGGGTCCGCGTGACTTTCGTAACCGATGGTTGGAGACTCTTGGTGACATGGCTCAGAATCGATCACAATGGCGTCGGTGTATACACTCCCTGTCTTCCCTTAAATTAAGAGTTTAAAATCGCCTCATATCTTTCTTTCTACGAACTAATTCTATATCCCGGTACTGTATCCTTATATGCAATCTTTCTCCTATATATTACCACCTTTAACCTAACCACTCCCATAAATCCGGTGTTCATCTTGCTGTGCTAATGAGGTATGGCAACCTGGACCGATGTATATATGTGCCTGGTCCTACGTTGTAGCTGACTGACTGAATCTTTCCGATTACTGCATATACTTTTACTATCTCTACCACTATGGGATTTGAATCGACAATTGTATCTCTGTGCTAATGTGGTGTGGCAACTCGAACTGATATACGTACGTACTAAGTTCTACGTTGTTACTGACTAACTGAATGACCGGGGAACCTTTGAATCCCCAAAATGCATGTAGACACACTTTGCCGCGTTGATAGGTATCAGCCACTCTTTAAACTAGTTAATTATATTATTTAAGTCTGTCTGAAGAGCACATGCGTCTGTCTCCAGTTATTACTCGCCAGATCTTTATATCGTCAGCGTATAATAACATTGGAGACTGTACTATACTTGGAAGATCATCAACATACATTATAAAAAGTAAAGGACCTAGGACGGAACCTTGAGGTACTCCGCTAAGTACTGGTCTCGAGATGGAGCACTTGGAATTTATTCTTACTTTCTGTCTACGACCTACTTATTTATTTATTTATTTCAACACATAGATAATGGTACAAAGAGGCACCAAATACATATGCGCCACACAAATCTCATCCGATATGTGTGAGGGCTGTGATACTGCCCGGGTGCCCAAACCGAAGCAGGTAGTTTTCTTAGGGGGCCACACCCCGAGCCTTCGACCCAAAGGTCTGATCCACAAGGCAGTGGAGCATCGTAAGGAGATGCAGTCCCATGGAAGCCGGTGACCAACAATTGGTTCATTCGCCATTTGTTCCCGCAGGATACTGGAGCCCATGTGCACCATTGGTTTGGAATCCGGTTAAAGCACCGGACATTCGCTTTTCGTCCTCTCATTTTCGTAAACAACACCCCCGCCACGAGAAGGCAGTGAGTAGGACTTCCCTGGCAGAGGCTATATACGCGTGGCCGTGTGAGAGTATTTCGAGAGGGAGAGCGGACTCTCCCCACTCTCGGCCGTACCAGGGCATTTGGGGGCCTACGACCTACTAGGAAATCCTTAATCCATTTTAAAAGAGGTCCGGCAATACCAAGGTTTTCCAACTTCAGGAACAGTCTATTAGTTGGCACCTTGTCAAAATCATTACTGAAGTCTATGTAGACAACATCCACTGAGTTCCCGTTGTCTAGCGCATTTATCCAAGATTCATTTGCTATAAGGAGGTTCGTTGTACTAGATAAACCCTTTCTAAAACCATGTTCTGTGTTTAGCAAGTTATTGGTTTCCATAAATGTCATTATGGTCTGTTTGACTATTCTTTCCAATATTTTAACTACAACACTGGTGAGGCTTACAGGTTTGTATTTCGATGGAAGTTGTCTTGGTCCTGTTTTTATGTATGCGAGTGACGATTGCGTCCTTCCAGTCCATAGGTAACACACCTTGGTCTAGTGACATATTGAATATCACAGTCAGTGGGGCCGCGATATATTGGGCAATATGTCTAAAGATTTTGGGGTGTAGTTCATCTGGTCCTGTTGACTTCTCCATATTTAGGGTGCTAAAAGCCTTAAGCACATCTTTTTGGTCAAAGTCCACGGTGAGCAGCTGGTTTGTTGACTCTGTATTTGGGTCTGGTTCTTTCTCTAGAGGAGGTTACTGAGTGAAAACTGCCCCAAAATATTTAGCCATAGCCTCTGCTTTTTCCTGATCTTCCTCTATCATTTCAGATTTACTTCCTAATTTAATTAGGTTGGGAATCCAGTGATACATCCTTGTACGAGAATATTCTCTTGGGCTGCTTGAGTACAGATTGTGCCAGCTGCGTTTCATATTTTCTTTGAGCTTCTCGAATTTTCGTTATACACTCGTTTCTTATCGATCTGTAGCGTTCCATCGTACCTGTTGTGCCAAGGTGGATGGCAACGTCCTAGCATTTCTTCTTTTGTCTCAGTAAACGTCGAATATCCCGCCCTATCCAAGGATGTCCGTGCTTCTTTTTCTTTGGGACAGTCCAGGGTATGTATGGTTGAGTTACCCGATTGTATAACTGCCTGAATAGAGTCCATGCCTCTTGTACTGATGCCTTTGAGTCATTTCCCCAGTTTTCAGCCGATGCTGCGGAGTTAATTGCCTGCATATCTGCCTTTCATATGTTGAGACGGGCCGGCGCAACTGTTTGATAGGCAATCTCAGCCATGAATTTGAATAATATGACTGCATTGTTACTTCTCCCTAGTGATGGGAGGAAAGTCATTTGACCAACGTCATCACCGTGTGTAAAGACTAAATCTAAAAGAGAAGAAGAGTTTCTTTAGTCATATATTTCTAAAGTGTCCGAATAATGCTAATCCAATCGAGGTTTTTAACAGTTTGCAATCGAATGACGTAATAGATGACCCTACTTCTAAGTTAACCCAGTTTAAATACGGTGCATTAAAGTTGCTTACTACAAGGCTTTTACCCTTGTTACACCAGGACTTAAGTTTACTAAGGAGAAAATCATCTACACATTCTAGATTGCGATATACTACAACTAATTCAATATCTTGCCGTCCACATTTCAACTTGCATCGCACTAGTTCACATGTCCCTGAAATATGTGCCACTGCTTCAACTGCTCTTATGGTTAGGGTAATCTTTGTGTACAGGATAACCCCGCCTCCCCTGCGGCTTAATCTATCAACCCTACTGGATAAAAACCAGTCAACTTAATTTCATCATCTAATACTTCTGACGTTAACCAAGTTTTTGAGACAGCAATAATATCTGATTTTTCTTTGTTCACCATTGAGTTGAGCTCCGCCATTTTATATAGTAGGCTGCGATCATTTGTGTAGCATACCTCTAAGTCTGTGGAGAACTTTCCCTTACCACTCAGAGTAGTTTTGGGATCGCTTTTCTCCGAACTTTTACAATTTGAAAACCCTTAAGAACTAGGTTTCTTTCATCGTTTCAGCGATGCTCATTTATTTTCACTTCTGCAGCTCGTCTCTTAATACGATCAGCTAGGCTGAAATCCTCACGGACATATATTCCAGATCCAATCAGTTTACGTGAGTTACCTAGAATCAGGTTCCTTTCTTCAACTATGGCGAATGTAACCTTCAAGAGGCGGTTTTTCTGAGGACATTCAGAATCGTCCTTTTGTCCTATTCTATAAAGCTTACAAATGTTAACTCCTGAAACTGTATCTGGGAGTAGCTTGCTTATTAAGGACTAAATATGGCTGAGGTCGTGTTTAAATCTAGCCTTTGGTTCCTTATCGGAAGATTCTCTTAACTTATGAAAAATGACTGACCTTTCAGAGAGGTCTGTCTTAACATGCAGTGGAATTTTTGTTTCTGATACCGCCACTTCCAATGACTTGCTAACCAGCTGCGTTTTGTCTACAGCTCTTTTCTTCTCGTTTCTTCTTCACCGCACTGAAGTCCATTTATCATCACTCAGGACAGCCACACCGGGACTATTTGGAACGGTGACAGTTTTATCCGGGTTTTCAATTTCCACTTGAGGTATATGATTACCAATGTCAATATCAAGCAGCACTTCACTTCTCGTTAGTGTTAACGGAGGCTTCACTCTCCCGTCAATCACAGTCGGGTGTTTAGCGGGTCCGGTAGCAGCACGTACTACACTGACACATTCTTCATCGTCAGTGCTCTTGTTATCAGCGCAACCGCCATGATTTTTCTTACAGGCCAAAGCCAATAGGCTCATAGCCTCCTGGATTAGTAACTTCTTATTTGTACAGCAAAACATACAAAGCCAATGCGAGTTAGGCTTTGAGCCCCCAATACCCCCAAATGCCCTGGTATGGCCGAGAGTGGGGTGGGCCCGCCCTCCCTCTCGAAATGCTCTCACACGGCCACGCCCCGACCGAAGCTGCTACCTTGACGCGGTGGTCGGGCTTGCCTATCGTGATGACCCAACCGAGCTATATTGGCTGGAACATATGTTCCTGTATGTTCTACCATGCCAGGCAGGTCGATTGGAGAACGGTAAGACTAAAAGCAGCAACTCAAGGTCTGAGGGCGAAGTCGTACTGCTGACTGTAGAGGGGTGTGACAGCAGTAAGGTGTCTCCCTCGGACAACCAGCATCTGCAGCCATTCGGCCTTCTCATAAGGAAGGAAAGGGTTAGAAAAGGTCGACCCTTAAAATGTCACACTTCACCTTACCTCACGGATTTCCGTCTCCGGCGGTAAGGCCCTTTGAAGAATGGAGCTAACTCATTAAAAACCTTCCACAAAAGGGCCGTGCGCGACCAGCCTCAAACAGTTGTCCCTTGGGCTCTGCGGCCACGCTCCCAGGTCGTTAAGACTAACACTAATTGGACTTCTTTTTCAGGTTCCTCAAGAAATACCCTTCCACGGTGTGGGCAGCCGGGAAGTGATATCAGCCCTCATACCCGTAACAGCACACGAAACCAAGTTGGTCACATTCAAATCCTTCCTACACCTCCTAATACCTCTCTTATTTCCATGACTAACCCTCCTCACGTCTCTTTATCACCTTGCACCGGTAGGTCAAACGATTCGAGTACGCGGAACGCTATTCCTGGTCTCTTGAAACCACGCTCTAAACTACACGTAGGAGCTTTTAACGTCCAAACACTGTGCCAAATAGGACAACAGGCTTCCTTAGCTAGGACTTTAGAATCTCGCGCCATCGATGTGTGCTGCGTCTCCGAAACGCACATACAGGATCCGAGTAGTGTCATTCATTTGACCTCACCATATCAAAATAAAGAACCATCTCAATTCACGCTTCTTGTATCTGGAAGCCTTGATGCTGCTTCCCGTGGCCTCGCTGGTGTGGGAATAGCATTTAGTCCTAGGGCAGAACTAGCTCTCTTAGAGTGGATCCCAGTAGACAGTCGTTTGTGCGCTGTCCGACTAAACGGAACAGTAAGGATCCGAAAAGATAGGGGCACTCGTCGTTGCCTCTTCGTCGTCTCTGCCTATTCTCCCACTGACTGCAGCGCAGATGATATAAAAGATGAGTTTTACAGAAAGCTCTCCAACCTTCTCCGAAAAGCTAGGCGCTCTGATTTAGTAATAGTGGTTGGTGACTTTAATGCTCAAGTAGGTAAACTAAGCGATAGGGAAAGACATCTGGGTGGATCTTATATTGTCGTGTCTCAAAGAACAGATAATGGTGACCGTCTGTTGCAGCTATGCTCAGATAACCGATTTTTTCTTGCAAATACTAACTTTAAGCATAAGCAAAACATCTTTTAACATGGAGACCCCCTACTTCGTCCTAGCGTTGGACCCAAATAGATCACATCGCTATCAGCCACCGATGGAGCGGCTCGATAAAAGACTGTCGTGTATCACATATTTAAGGTGTTTTGGGAACCATTCCTTTTACCCATACAAATCTCAAAAGCTTTGGCTTCCAAAACCTGACCACCCGAAAACCCTGAATTGTCAGGTTCTTTTGGCCATTTAGTTTTTGAGGTTTTAGCGTCGTAAAGGCATTTTTTCACTTGATTCGATCCTCAAGCGACCAATCTGATCGGATACGAATATTCGAATTACGAGTTTTGTATGCGTTATTCAATATTACGTCTCTTTCATTGAAATTCCCGAGTACCGACTTCAAGACCCTTCTTGTTAGGGTCTGTCCTCCAACCCATTTACCGAATTTTATTACTTTCGTGATATGTACTCCTGAAACCTCTTCTGGCAGTACATTTCTAATGGCAGATTCCACTAACTCCAGATAGTGTGCATGTCTTTTATCAGGGTCATCGTGTTTTGGCACCTCTAGGTTCCAAATAATTAAACTAGGAATGGGTTTAACTTCTTTGCAGATGTTCATGGCTTTCGACTGTGATGTCAAATCCTGCCTGTTAACTTCTGGCGGCTTCGTCAGTCAGTCGGCTACAATGTAGGACCAGGTACATATATGCATCGGTCCAAGTTGCCACACCTCATTAGCACAACGAGATGAACACCGGATTCATAGAAGTAGTTACCGTTAGTTTTTCTTGTAACAGAGTTGTGGGAGTCGAGCGAATGACTCATGACAATGTTTGATGAGGTCAAACTTCTCCCATCTACGATAGGGTTAAATACTATCTTACATTCGGACTTTGGCGGAGTAATTTGCAACGCAGAATGTAAATCCACCAAAGACTTTTCAACTAGACGGATTGTTATTTTAAGCTTACACCCAGTCCTCCATCTCATTTAAGAGATTTTTCAAACGAGACCAGTCTTTATGTAAACGCCGTTGCTTCGACATTAGCTAATTGTTTGCTTGTAAGACCAGTTAGTTTATCGTGGATTATATTTTATAAACTCATGACAAATACTGGTAAACCTAAAAGACAGTATTTCATGCTAACTACCTATCTCCACTCTTGGTAACAGAGAGTTGGTTTTAGGCCGGTTTTCGCGTGCAGAGTTTTTAATGTTTTGATAAAACCTTCAAACATTCTTTGGCTTTGAATCCCAGATTACGACTTTTTCTACTGAGTTCAAGACAGAATCGACGTCAAGATTTGCCGGTTTTTGGCTTATAATAAGCGTGGTAGTGTTCTTGCAATTATCAGGTGATGGAAACGTAGTCAATACATATCCTACATACGCGGAAAACGGGCCTGCCCATCACGAGTTTTTTCATGAGCTTTGCATAACTTGTGGAGTATAACGGGTGCAACAGTTTTAGGGGAATAAGTTGGAGATTTATGCCTTAGCAATTGTTGCTCAAAGTATGTAGGTCTCCTTCAAAGATAAGGACAGTGACCGCCCCATTCCAAAATGTTATTTCACTATTAAGTTGTTGTATCCAGTTAATCTTCTGCTAATTTGAACTTTATTTATGCAGCTAAAAAGGAAAATGTAATCAAAGTCTAATGGTACTTCTTAATGATAATGAGTCATAAAATATACATCAAAACTTACCACATATAAGTAACATCTTAGTTAAATTCGTCAAAAATACCAGACTCATTTGTTGCAGTTCTGAAACTACTGATCTTATTTTAGTGTATAAGAAGACTTAAGAGCAAATCATGTGTGCTATTGTCATATTTTAGTTTTGTTTCTACATGTTTTATTTTATTTAGATATACTTTCTAGCTGATGTGAATTTAATGGAATCATCTAATCAGGTTTTATCACGTTTTCTTGTATTTTATTGTGATGACTTAGTAGTTAAAGTGATCAGCTTCCAACAAGCAAGTCTCAGGTTTGAATCAGTGTCCATCTACTTCGATTTAATCGCACTGGGACTTTCACTGATTCTTATAAACAGTGTGACTCATAGTCGACTACTTAAATCTGTACTTGAAAAATAATTTTCCATGACAAGATGCTTTGGATTGTGTTTATATGTTCTAAATTTATTTTTTAACATTAGTGACTCATTACATAATACTCATAACTTTGGATAATCCGTTGTACGCCGCATTGCAGGATAATGTCTAATAAAGGCAAATCACAAGATGAGGCTCTCAATAATGAAGTATGCATTCAATTATCAGTATTTCATTCACTTAATTCAGAATTCAAAGTCAACAAATTCATTCTATCATGAAGAGAATTCTGTGAAATTGGATGGAAGTGCTCACGATCTTTTACAATTTCGAGATTGTTGTGAATCTTTACGCGAGTTCATAAAAAATACATGGCAGCGTAAAAAATCACAGGAGAAGGTATATTGAATGTACTTACTTGGATAATGTTTTCAGATTAATGCTTCGCAGTTTGCCTTTCTGATGATATCTATCAAGGAGTTGAACAGAAGAACTCAGTTTAGGATTCGAAAATCTCGAGAAATAACTGCAGAGGTAACTTGAAGTTGTGTTAAGATTACTTCATATTTCAATTCTAACAGAATAAGAATAAAGTGGATCAGTTACACTTAGGTTTGCAGAATCTTTTATATGAAGTCGCTCACCTTGAAAATGAAATTCAAACATGTTTAGAATTTAGGTGAGTTGTATATTAGTGTTTGCTTATCTACTACAACAGGTCTCGACATGAAGATATAAAATTAATTCCGGTAGAAGAGTTCTATGAGAAAACTGGGCGCAAAGTAGTTTTTGCTTTGCATTTTACAAATTTATAGGTTGGAAGCTTATCAGAACATCAGGAGACTTTGGAGCGTCTTCATTGGGAGCTTGAACAACGAAAGGCGTAATTTTCTTTTTATTGAGTAGTTTAATGTATTTCAGTTTATCTGACTCTTGTGATAAACTAAAAAGTGCTGTTGAATCTACTTCACAAACCATTAAAAAGAAACGGAATTATTTAGCTAGTTTTGGTCCAAAGTTGAAGGATGTTGCTGAAGTAAGTTGTTTATTTACCATATTGGAGTTTATCAACTATTTTTAGAGTACTTTAATTATCCAGGAACTAATGGACTTACCGTTTACCAACGAGAATGAACAGTATAATTTGGCGTTTCTTCTACCTTCACCACTGTATATTCTGTATTCTCTCTTAAAGTCATACATATCTATGTCAGGTAGTTTAGAAAACTTTTTTATTTGAGTTGGATGAATTTTAGTCATTCCGGAACCAAAAAGAGGGTAGCGTATTCAGTTATTTACATATAATTTAGTAACCATACATCTGTTTGTGCTTTCGATTTTGAGATGTAATGATGAAGATTAGTAAATCTATTTGATTGTTTAAACAGTAGTAGGTAAGACGGGGTTCGAACTGGTAATATTACATACCTTGATCAATTATCGACTTAGAAGTATACTATACTGATGACTTTGGGCTACTTGTTAGCCAATCTAAAACGTTTTTAGATATAAAAGAATTAACACTAAATTAAAGTGGCTAAATAGCTTTTATATGATTAATGAACCCTTACATGTTACATGATCTATAATAAAAAGCGGAGGAAATTAAAGTATTAGTAATTGGGTTGTGGTTATGGATAAAGATTAAGGTTTCCATCACGAACTGAACTCAGATATAATCCAATGATATTCTGCCAAACTTTCGTTTCTAAACTTATAAAAGCTAGGTTGGAGATTTGGAGCTGGGAGTTCGAGTGGGAAAATACTTTTTAGCTACACAAACATCCTTAACTGTGAATGAAATCACATTAAGTACTGATAATTTTTACTTAGTTTATAATAGGATACATGTTATCACTCACTGCGCATTGAATTTAACGGAAAAATCATGAAAACAATCTCTTAGTTTTAGTTGGTTCATATGGGGCCGTTAGTGTATTATACTTCTACCATTGCTTGTTAAGTCACCTTCATCTGTATTTGTCAGTGAGTGTCCACTGTTCTTCCTCGTATGTAATATGGGTTTATTTTGGTTTTGCTAGTGGCTAACAACTCGTCGTTCGGTAGCTAATAAAACTTTAGACTTGATTTTCATTCCGTTTAAGGCTTTTTACCTGCGTACTAATACTAATACTTGAACGCATTATTTATAAGGTTAAACATGAAGGCGTTATTATACTACCGAGTTAATTTCCCACTAGTCGCGTTTTTGATCACCAGACTCCTTATGCATTTACTCTGATACACCATTTTTTATTTGTTATCCTATTCGATTAAGTACTTCTTACTTTGTATGTTTTCTGCCATAAATTATGCTCTCGTTGGGACCGACTATAGTGACTGTGACACCACAAGTTCCCACTGAATATTAAGCTTTTATAGAGTCACTTCTTTTACAAAGTTAACATATGTAATATACATGTGTGTAACAATAAAGCTAAAGTGTTTAAACACTTGTCGAGCTAAATTTCTGGGCAAAAAAGAAATTGGATATGAACAGTTATTATTAACTTTCACTGTTTTGAAATTACGATTGCTCACCCACTTTTTCTGTATTTTCTTGGTAGGATTTTTAGTCCTGTAATAAGAGAAATGTAATTTTATATGTAATTGTTGTTTTAATAAATATATTTGAACATTGTTGTATGATCAATGAAGCAAGTTATTTGTTGTGAATTTAACCGATCGATGTATTAACTAATAAAAAAATGACAGCCTAGTATTTCTAAAACTCATCGACTACAATTTCATTTCTTCGATGTGTTCGGCTAAAATATAATGGGTTCTGATTTTTGTCCCAACATGAGTTGGAGTTTATTTACTATATTTTTTATAGTGCCGTTATTAGCTACTTGAATGCAAATAATATATTGCTAATTAAACTATTTTGTTGAGTTGTTCTTCTTGTTGTAGGAAAAAAATCAGAATTTTCTGTATCAATCGAAGGTGATTCGGAATTAGCCAAAGCTGTTAATCAAACAACAGAACAAACGGAATCCCAGTCTTCACCACAGGAAGCTGATGATTCTGATGTAGATGATGGAGAGGGGAATAAAAAACGCGTTAGTTCTAGTTTTATGTTTTATATGCGATATTCAAATTAAAATGGAACATTATAGAATTAGTTTATGAAGCCACCGAATGTTAGTCTAATATGTGTAAGTGGCAACATGTTTTGAGGTTCGTGTTACCTAAATAAACTTATCTGACTTACTGATTTGAATACAATATGTTACGAGAAATTAGTACATTGATCCGACAAGGCAAATAAAATACTGAAGCAAAGCTAAAAGGACAAGTAAACACAAGACTATAAAATTAATAATTGTATGTTATCAAGTTATTCAGAATTTGAGTTTAATGTAAGGAATGATTTTGTTTATGGTAAGTTGTGTTTTTGTTTGTATTTTACGTGCACTATCACAGCAGATTAGTTAAGGGTTTATACAACCATAATAATGTATTACTAACAGTTAATAGAAACTATTATTTCTATGGTTTTTCATCGATATGCAGAAATAGACCGATATAACTTTAATGAATTGAATAAAATGTCATTAGCCATTGTGTTGTACGCCGAATTTCTTATTTTTTTTATAAAGATAATTCTTTATAGTAATGGTAGTCATACGCGTAAATCACTTGAAAATGTAAATCTTACTACTTGTTAAGTAATCGTTTTTTTTTACAAAAACTCTGATTTTGCTTTTTATTAGAAAAAGAAACGTTATGCGACAGAATGCATCGATGATACAGATAAAGAGTTTATCAATGAAAAGACTATTAAATTCCATCCATTAACTGTTTTGTTAACGGTTTCTGTCCCTAAAAATTCAGGTGAGATTTATTTCGTATTCCTTCATGTTTTTAGTTGTTGATGAAATTATACCCGTAGATAGTTTTTCTTCCAAGAAGTAGGGATTACAACTTGAATTATTGTGATTGGCAAATTGTATAAATTTGATATAATTTACTTTACAGTTAAAATGCAACTCAACTCATATTTAAGGATATCGTTGTACACTAAAAGTTTGTGCAATAAACAGATAAATGAGATTTTTTTAACTGCTAAAATAAAATGTTTGTTTGTGTAAGTATTAATCAATATAACCTATTATTTAGTTATATGCTCCTACCCTTCCCTTCTCATACCAGTAAGTCTGATAGGGAAAGATAATTTTAGTGTTCAAACTGCCCTATTATTATGGCCCAGTTGGAAGATATTTTGACAAAATCAGGTTGTCGAAATACACCTTTTCATTGACTATAAACTTATAGGAGTTGCATCAATCGTAACAACTATGAAAAACAGTACTTCTTTACTATAGGGTCAAATTATATGGTTAACGCAAGTTTACATTTCAAACGTGAGAAACGTCTATATGAACACTGCGCTCTTATCTTCAATTAGAAAAAAAGAAAACAAAAATCTGCAATTTCATTCGAACTAAGTTTTATTTCACATAAATATATTGACAAGCATCCTGTAAAAGTAATTAATTTCCTTCTTTCTGTAGATATACCACTTAGTGAACGTGGTTTTAGTATCAAATTATCATTCGCTTGGATGTTAGATTTACATCTGGTAACGGTGAGATTACAATTTTCAGCAGACAAAACTGCTTCACTTCCCCGATCAAAAACTGGAAAGTGAGTGACTGACAGCATGTAATCATTGGACAGTAAACTTTTCTAATTCATGTTTGTTATCATTTTTGATTGTGTATAAAAGTCATATTTTGTGTGAATGATTATTTAGTAAGATGTTGAATATAACTGTAATTTCTAGCTGTTAACAAGAGAAAAACAATTTTACACACCTTATGCTGTTAGTTTTAAGACAGATATACGACAGTGCATGATAAAGGTTGGATACTTTTACGTAAATGAGTTTGATTTTCGTCAGGATTATAGTATTTTACGGATTCTGTTTAAGATAATGTCAAGACTCTATAACTTACTACCATGTTTTGATATCGTCATTTTGAGATTCCCTTCATGTTTATCTTGCTTAAGCACCATTGGGCGTTCGATTACTCACTGATTTAGCCTTTTTAATGCGAACCCCAAGACATCTCGATGCATAAGTTTTCATGAACCCACCTAAACCTCACAGTTAATATTGTTTGCGCCATTATCATTGACATCGGTTGACACATCAACTTTGTCCATGTTTTATGGTTGTATGGTAAAACATAGTGCCCAGTTTTTCTGTACTCTTGAATATCCCATGAGTGTTATTTAAGGAGTAGGCTGGCAAACCTTAGTTGATGCTTTTGTGTTTGCAAGAAGATTTTAATAAATATTACGGTCGATAGTCAGTCAGTCAGTAACAACGTAGAACTTAGTACGTTCGAGTTGCCACACCACATTAGCACAGAGATACAATTGTCGATTCAAATCCCATAGTGGTAGAGATAGTAAAAGTATATGCAGTAATCGGAAAGATTAGGGTTTTAAGATGTTATTCAAGGAGCATAATCCAGTGAAATAAATTTGAAAAGAGAAAAAGGAAAGGGACATGAAGAATTCTGAAGATTACCTCGTATGTTTAGTTTAAAGCGAAGTTAGATTTAGTTCCATTCTTTTTTCTGAAATTCACTTTTTTATATTGTATTTTTATAGTAGCTTGCTTAATTCTGAACAGCTTTTGTCCAGTTTACAATGGTCTTGTGACCAACTTGGCTTCGGTGGTTGTAGTTCAGATATACCTATTTTATTTCTTCCTAATTCACAAAAATCGATTACATGGAATGCATGCGAATCCGTCGGACGACCATATTCGTGGGCTCAACAACTATCAGGTATTAACTGCTTTCCAGATAGGTTATCTGATAATAAATTATGTGAACAGTCATCAAAATCTACCGATTCAGAACATTTTGGGGAAATTGAATCTTGGTTAAAATCTCTTCAATCGCGAATTATTGACAGACTATATCTTATTGAAGAGGTGAGTGTATATTTTTGCAGATCTTCCACATATCACTTCTCATTCATCTCAGTTTCATTTTTATTACGAGTCACTGTTTTCTGTTGGGGTTTCGAAAAAGATCTGAGCGTTATAAGCAAGAAAGTACTGGTCTTCGAATCGGGTTTCAGTAACTACCTAGCGATAATATTAGTCTTGATAGTGGTTTAAATATTAATTAAGTGATCGTATATACTGTCTATAAGTTGGATTTTTGTGACAACTAATAATGCTATTCAGGTTGATCAGTGACTAAGATTCAACCTCATTACAATATTGGTGAAAGTCAAATATGTAATCTCGAACTCTTTTCGAAACATAATTATTAACTTTCATCATGGTCCACTACCCACACTAGTTGGTTCCCACAAATGATTGCTTTAGTATTATCATATGGACAAGGAAGTTGTCTAGTTTATTACTCTCACTAAGACTGATTGTATAACAGTAATTAATTGAAGTGAATCTATAAAATTTTAAATATTTTCACACTTAATTGCATCCTTGGTGTTTTTGTTGTCATCTTCATTTTATGGATATCACCTTTTTCTCAATAGTTTAACTGTTGGGGACGTTAGATCCCCAGAACTCACTTGCAAAAGGTCCTAATTTTGTGATTTTATTTTGAAAATTTGAATTTCTTTGTTTTCGCGCGAAAAGCACTCTTTTCACCTTCATGTCATATTTCCCACATATCTGGTGTATCTGGTCTATTTAAGAGTTTTTCGAATTAGTCTATCTATCTATTCATCTGTTCTTGAATCTCGTTGATTGTCTTGCGTTTTTTTGTCTTTGACCGCTCTTTCCGGTTTACTGAATTTCCCTGTCGGTTTCTTCGTTGTGTCATAGCTATCTCACATTTCCTTCCGTCGCAGCTTTTTCCACTGTTATTGTTAGCTCTTCCGCGTACTTTTGCTCGTCGGTTCTAATGCTCCTCTTCACTTGCTTGTTCTCTTCAGTGTATCCAACTTGTGCTTTGACTTTCTCTATTCTTGTTGGGCTGTTGTTAATTGCCGTCTTCTTGTTTTTTTCGTGAATCTTGTACAGAGTTTCGATAGAGATCCATTCCTCATGATGATGTCATTCGCGACCCAGAACCTCCTGATACGTTGTAGTTAATGCTTCATTGATCCCTTTCCAGCTGTCCTTCATAGTAGTTTCTTCTTTGAGTAGATCTTGTAAGTCAGGGGACCTGTTGTTGAGAGTTATTTTGATTTGGTTGAGTTTGTCGGTACTTCATAGGAATGCTGTATTGAACTTTTGTAATGCTGTTTCCTCAGTTGTCCAATGCTTCTTTAGCTTCAGTTTCATCTTGGTCACAATCAGGCGTTCTTCTGAATTTTATATTGATACAAATATGATCTTTCTGGTTCTCTGTGATGTGATCCATTGAGACCTATGTAGCTTTGTGTGGGGATAATGTGCTACTTCTAACCATTTTATTGAATAAACATAGGTTTGCGAATCTCTCCCAATTTTCGTTTCTCTCTCCCAGTCCATGTCCCATAATATCTTCATACCCGGTGTTGTCCATTCCGACTTTGATGTCTCTCATCAGGTTAGTGAGATCATTTCTTAGACACTTCGCTATGATTGATTGTGGCCTCTAGCAGAACTGATCTTTATCGTTGTCGATGCTATGATTGGTGGGTGCATAACATTGGATAACATTCATCGTGACTCCCTCCTTTATTTTGAAGGATGTTTTGATGTTCCTGAGTTTATGAGATTCTCATCCTACAAGTGCTTTACGTGCTTCTTTGGACAGCATAAAAAATAACTCCCTGAATGTGTGGAGCATCTTCCTATTCCTGACCAGGGTACAGCCACATCTAACCTTTTCTGTCCAGCTTGTATCCAATGGGTTTCACGTTTTCCGAGCACCGTCAAGTTGTATCGCCTCATTTCCTTAGCTGCTTGATTAGTCCTTCCGGTCTCCCACATTGTTCAAACATTCCATGCACCTATACTAGTTGTTGCTGTGGTTTTTACAAGGGGCATCAGCCTCGTGACTTTTGAAGAATCTGGGCTTTTTTCCCGAGGCGTCATAATTCTTCCTTCAACTCCCAGGACAGTTTAAATGGTTTAAGTTGTTTTTTATGGTTGGCCTTTTTCTACAAGGATTTTTTTCTATGGGATGGGGTTGCTGACTCCATGCCTAACCCTCCTCCTAAACACGGGCTTGGAACCGACAGTAAACCTAGAAGAGCTACAGGCGGAGTTAGGTATTTCTTAGTCCGCTTAACCAATTTTTCATTATGAAGTATAGACTACTGTCAAGCAGTAAGTAGTACGGAAGTGTATCATATCAAACTACGTATATTATGAAATCATTTATTCACTAATGACTAAAATTTACGTTTATTATAACTGTCAGAACGTAGTTTCTATCTATCCAAAAGTATTCTTAAACCTAGGAGGGAATCATTAGCATTAGTAATTAAAATATACAAAAACGGTAAGAAAGGGCCTCAAGTACGTTGAGTACGTTGGAGTATCGTATTTCATACTGAATGTACGAATTACGGTAATTTACTTAATGAGACATATTATCGGGCTTGTTAAATTAAATTTGTAACATCATTTTTTAAAGGGTGGAGTTGTTTTAAATACATTAGATTCAGGATAATACTTTTCGTGAATTTTCATTAAAATATGATGGTTTTATAAGTAGTTCGAAGTATTAAACTAGGAGACAGAATCTATGTATTGCGAATAAATTTTAAATGTAAACTTAACAATCGAGTTCAAATCGTAACTAATCCTGATAAGTCTAGAATTTTGTAATTACTTCCATTACACTCGGATAATAATTTTTTTCGTCGTGTTTCCTCAATCCTTCATTGTTACTGCTTTTACTGTTTGCGAAATTAGCTTTCAGAAATTGAACGCTGCAACTTGTTGTTATCACCCGAGCAACAACAGTTAATCCCCTCTGATGTTGAACTTCGCATTATTCGGTGGAAGAGTTCTAATTTTGAAACTTTACAGGTGATTTATTTTTATGAAGTTGTTGTATATTAGGCTTAGTAGTCGTCTGTTAACCAAATATTGTTTACTTTATGTGAAAAAATGTTTTGTTTCCATGTATAGTATTGTATTGTGTGTTGGTTTTGATAGCATTGATGATCATATATTTAATTCCAATTACAACAATTAAAACATTTTCATTTCTTATCATGTTTAGTAGTATCCTAACAGTTACTTTCATTATTGTTAAATGACTGCAACTAACTGTTCAAAGTACAGTTTACGGTCACTTGGTTATACTTTTAAACACATTCATATGATTATCAACTTCAAATACATACATACTAGCATTAATTATCGCGAATTATTTTGATGAAACTGACTGTCCAACATGTAAACGTTAACTGTGTTTAACTTGTTATTCGTCATTCTTGTTAATGTCTATCTACATTTATCGTCTTTTAAGGCTCTATTTTTATTTTTTGTTTATAGTCCGTTCCTCGTGCTCAGGTTATGATTGCTTTAAATGTAATTCGTCCTGAGGACTCAGTATTCCAGTGTCACATTGGGAGAGATGAAAACTGTAGGTTAACATGATTTTACTCTATATTTTCCATGTGATATTTTTCTAAATTTTTCATTACAAAGGAATTTTAATCATATAATCCAAATCCTGCGCTAGTGTGTAGGTCACAGTTCTGTGTGTCTGCTGACAATCGTAGTTCACTAATTGAATTGAAACAGATAGACTTATACATTGAACATCTGACTAGATAACGTAAGACTTTAAACACTCGTATTCTCGGTTGAAACCTAACTTTGATTAGGTTAAACAAAGTATTACCACTTTTTTCTCACATAAGTATGTCTTGCTGCTGAGTATGACATGGTTGTTATTGAGCTTCATTCTAACTGATCTTCCTGTATGACTCTTCAATTTATTCGTAGAATTTATTCTTAATTCGTAGCTTATATGTGTTTTGGCTTACTTTTTCAGATTTTGTCACTGTATGGGTCTGTATCCCACCTCAGTATCCACATAAAGCGCCATTACTAATTATGGACGGTCTAATCAATTTTGTCAGTCCCAGTGGTACACATAATACGGAGGATGTTGTCACTGACTTATCTGATCTTCATATACAGGTAATTTCTAATTATTTATTAATTATTGTTAAATCTAACCGACTATCATTTCAATTGAGGTCCATTTATAAAATATATGTTTTACAAAACGACCCAACAATAGAAGACTAAAATTTGTATTTCTATATACTTAGTCACCGGGATGGTAAATAATTCCTACCTATGTATTTGACACATGCTTTATTATTTTGTTACATCAATATCGTACATGTATTACTTATCTATGTGGCTTACCACACTCTGATAGAAATCTAAGATTGTATATTTATTACATTAATACCTATCCGGACAATTATGCGAGACTCCTTAGCAGTGCTCATTTACGATCTAGCACGCAGGAACCGAACCTAGGACCTTCGATCATGGATGCGAACGCTCGACTTCTAGACCACCGAGCCGGCATCCGACGGTGTTCATGTCTAACTTCAACTGATCCATGATGTTTTACAACCCTTAATCCATTGTCATCGGTGAATAACTGTCTCGCACTCGACACGGATTAAACTCAACTGGTCACAGCTTCTCACTAGAGCCCTAAGAATAAGATCTTGAACGTAGTCACCAGTGAGCACATGAGGAAGATTGTGGTATTTTTACAGTTTAAATTACGAGCTGATGTTGGTCCACAAATCTTTCATACTAATTACATATGAGTTAAACAGAAATTCACAACGCTTCTAAACATACTTAAGATTGTTAACAAAGTCTCAAAGTTCCAGTTAATAACAAATAACAGTTGCATACTTTCTTCATAAAGTTAATTGTTTATATTTTTTTAGTGTGGTTTTAAATGAAATTTGTCAGTAGTCACGCTACCACAATGATTAAAATAATATTACCATTTATATATCATCTCTTTGTAATGACATTATGCATTACAAAAAAATGTTATCATAAATCTAAGTAAATGTTTGTTATGTTATATCCGAGTAGTATAGATCGATTTGTCTAAAAGTTGTGGAAAAATTATTATTACATAATTTCTGTATATATCCACATATATGGGTTTTCATTTTTGTATGAAGTTATTCAGTCAAGATAATATGATCTATCACGTAAAAAATGAATAGTTTAAAGTAAGACCCATCAAGTAACTCATAAATTATTCAAGGAAATTACTACAGATTATATGCTTTTATTAAGTGATTTCATGTAATCTGTAAATATTTAGAAATGAACAAATTCTTTTATGAAAACCAATTAATACTTTCAAGTTGTTGAAGTAATTCAGTTAACCTTTTTTTGTTGTTGAAAAAAATCTCCCTACTTTAGGAATTAGAAACTGAAGTCAACTGTTATTGGCAAGAATTTTTCATTTCATCTATAAATCAAAATAATAGTCATACGGTTGTAAACTATTTTGGTAATACTAATGATATTACTTCTAATAATATTATAAATTCCGATAAGCCGTTTTATAATGGTAATCAGTGTGTCGGATTAAGTAAATGGAATCGAAATATATTATCTTGTCAGTTAGCTAGATGTGCTGCTTGTATCGATGCATTATGTCGTGATCAAATAATTTGGAAAAATTCGTTGAAATCAACAAACAATTCATGTGTTCGTTCTGTTAGGTAAGTAAACATTTTTTCTATGCTGTTTGGTATTTTGCATATCTTCTTGGTGATATGGGAATTAAGTTTGAAATTTTCATATTGTTTAATCACTCCTCGAGCCTAAATACTTATGGATCAAGTCTGAGATTACTTTAAATATATCATGTTGAGTATGATTAAATAATGAAGTTGTTAATCCAACATTTTGTCTTAAGACTGATAATACTGTTTAGTTATTCAAAATTTCATTGGTAGTCTTGATTTTGAACCCTTAGCTTATTGGATGAAAGTTATACATTTAAACATTTGTTATATTCGTCAACATTTTCTGTACAAAATAAAGCAGTAGCTTAGTAGATTTCAAACTATACTAATAAGTACAGTCGTGAAAGGTTGTGATAAATATTTTTCTTCATGAAATCTCTTGGTTCTCACACTAAAGAATTGTATACAAACTTCGGATCATGTATTTTAATCTGTTGGGTACAATCTAACACGTTTATGGAACATAATTAGTTGATTTTATTTTATTTAACTGTTCATTTGTACAATATATATATACTGTATTAATTAAATCAAAATCAGCTGTTAGTAACTTTCCAAATAAATTCGTTCCCAAAATATGTTAAATGGAGCGAATTTCAAGGAAAGTTATCAGCCTGTTGAAAAAAGTTGGTATATGTTCGTCACATTTACAAGCAGCTTTAAAAATAGCGAGTAGATTCGCTCGTTGATTCACAGAATATTCTCCTTCTAACCAATCAGTTTACCTGTGTTAACATCTAAGTTCAGAATTTTACTTGAGTGTTCCTCAAACGATTTCAAAATTTCACTAAATGTAGATATACCTTAGAATCTAGTAGTCAGAATTCACTTTTTGAGTTGAAGGCAGAGACACAACATCTAGTTACCGCTAAACAATATTACCTTTCTTATGAACTAATGACATTAAGAAGCCTGGGATCAACAGAACAACCTACGAGGTTAAATGTATACTTTTGTCTAAATATTTTATGTTTCAGTGTTTGAACGTTAAAGTTGTGAACTTATTTTTATGATTGTATATCGGATGTAAAAACAAACCTACTCTATTTATACGTTAATAAACAATCTTATATAGTGTACTCCTCCAGTTAATGTCCTTTTTATCTATGGTAGGTTTTATGGTTTAGAATTACTTATTTAAAAAAAAAGAAAAGAAAATCTGTTATTTAAATTAATCATACATGGACAGGAATCTCTTTTTAACAAATAGTTTTTTTTCCATATTTTAAGTTGATAGTTTACTATGTCAGTTTTATTTGTTTATATGTATGACCTATATTTTATTTATTGAATTGAATTCAGTTTGAATGCTTTATGGATAACATATTCTTCTGTGTTGTAACTATTTTTTTTCTTCTAATAGATATCCAACAAGAAGTCGTCCTCTTCGTTACTTACCTTCACCGGGTGCATTTGTTCATCGTTAATAATATATATAGATTGTTTTCCACTTATCTCTTATTGTTTGTATAAGTGTACTTAAACGCTTCAGATATTTTTGTAAATCTGTATTATTATTACTTTTCTGTTAAAACGAATGTAATTTTACCTTATTGTCTAGTTTATATATGCCACAATTTTTGTACTGATAGACTCTAAACTGGATAACATTATTGCTTTTTTATAGTAAATCTGAACTAAATATACATTTGTTTGTATATAACATTTTGATGGAAAATGATTGACGTGTCATTTGTTTTTATTTAACAACATTGGAAATGAATGAAAAGTTTAATTTTTTTATATTTATTCCTACTAGGTGGTTTTTAAATCAATAAATATCCTTCCCTAAATGTTTAAATTCCTTAATAACATTTGCTATTTCAGTTAACTAACTTTCTTTTTGTCAACCAAATTAAGAATTTTTCTGTATATGACCTTTGGAAGTAGATCAAACTGTGAATTTCAGTTTATGTTATATGGATTATTTTTTGTATCGTTATCATATGATGGGTCGGTGATGAAATTCATTTAGTTGATTGTTTTAAAAAAACCACCTTAAATTCCATCGAATACTACTGTATTGATGTGAGTTGTTTAGTTTGTATTCAAACTATGATCTATTAAAATGTTCATGAGTGGAGAGAAAAAAGCCTGGGATTAGAATCAAGATATTCAGAGAACGTTTGTAGAATAAATAAGAATTAACTTTTCAGCAACAGTTTATATATTAAAACAAGTTTCTAATGGTTGTTTTGTCAGAATCGCTGCTTTCAATATTTATATCTAATTTGATCATAAACATACTTTTAGAGGCTAGATATTATTCATCTAACTTTTTGAAGAGTGATCTCATCAACGTTAAGTACTGAGATGACGTAGTTCTTTTTGACGAGGATTTTGAAATAATTCCGGTTTTTTGGGTCTTCAGTAGCAACGCAAGTTTATTTGGGATTCACTTCTGTTCCTCTAAGTTAGAAATGTTGCTTCAGGACTGGTTTGCGTCAATGTTTTACCTTTCGTTTTCTAAATTTATAGTTTAGTGTAATTCCATACGTTTAATTCAATATGTTTATTTTCTGGATTATATCTTCTATGTTTGGCACTCCACCACAGTTATTATTTTAGCTTCCTTACTTTTCATCGCTTCACTTTATTTACAATGTGTGGTAACTTGGACGGTAATGCATTTGTGCCAGGCCATGAATTATCTCTGACTCACTACCTGTCGGGGATGAATAGACTTCTGAATTTCGATTGTCGTAATGACTATTAATTTTATGCCTGTTAGTACATCATACAAAAGTTTCTTTCATCGGAAATTCATGATTGCCATTAGTCGTTATTAATCGAGTCAATATTGATATGATCTAGTTGCAAATGACAGTTCCGTGCTGCATGTATGTTGCAGTGTGTCCTCGCCCTCTTGAATACGGGTTGTACGCAGTTGATTTTATAAGTTTTTGGGTTGTTGCTGCCGCGGAAAAATGAAGAAGTATATCTAAAGACTATCTTTCAAAAGAACAGCTACACAATCAAGTTCATCAAAAAAATCAAACAAACGCATTAGCAGAAACAAAATCAAGTACAGAAGCCAACAAACGGATCCTCCATATATAGAAAGCATATAAGAAATTACGAGATTGTTGAAGCATTTTGAAGTAGGTGTAACACAAATTAAAATCACTTCAATCAGTCCCATGCAAATTAAAGATCGTAATGACAAATTAAGGAAAGCCGAACATCTACAAAATAAATTGTTTTAACTGTGAAAAGCACTACATCAGACAAAGCGGACAGCTTCTTCATCTTCGCCTGTATGAACATCAATTAGCGGTTAAACGCCATGACATATTTCCGCTTATATCAATGGATGCGGACATACATTCAACTGGGAAAATGTTGAGATCTTAGATAAAGGGCATACCAAAAGCACCAGGGAATTTTTAGAGGCTTGGTACTCAAGTCAGTCAGCAATCAACAAACACTGAAATCAATCCAATTTACCAAACAATAAAAAAATATGGGCAATTATAGGACCAAGAATCAAATGAAAGGGAGATACAACCAAAATATAGAAATGAACAATGATAAGTTAAAGATCAACCAAGATCGAGGTCTACAAGACAAGCTATGAGTTATATGTGGAGAAATTCGATCACTCCACTCCTACCTGAAGTTTGTAATGATGATGTCGTTCGGAAGAACGATGACAGCTCCATGACTAAACCTTCCAGCTCAGCAAATAAAACTTCACTAAAGTTATTTGACATTTCTAACCATTTGTTTTATCATGTTACTTGCCGATAATGGATCAAATGTCAGGTCAAGTATTGGTCCCTTTTTCTAGTAGTTTTAGTAGAAGTAAGGTTAGTATTGATTCAATGTGTAAATTATTTTAGATCAAAATTTTAGCAATTAAGTCAAGTCAGCAAATAAATGTATCCGTATTCGGTTTCAACAGTATTGCTTACGCTTTTCAGTGATTTGTATAGTTTGGAAATATGTATACTCTCGAACAGACTCAGTGTACCATTGAATACTTGTCTTTTTTTCGTCTAGGGCTCGTCAGAAATGTATACTTATGACTTTATACAATTGTTATGCTTATAGAAACCAAACGATTCCTGATTTGAGTGTTATGCAGATATCATAGATTAGGAAAGGAAACCAAAGTAATAAATAAACTTTTGAATTACTAGTTAGTTTTAATAAAGCCATCTTCCATATTTAAAATAATAGTAAGCTGACAGTATGCTATGGTTAAACATGTATCTTGAGTGTTTCACAATTTTAACTTAAGCAGAAAAATACTTTCAAGAATTCAGACTTTTCCCCAAAAAATCCCAATGAGTGATTTATAATATGAAAGATTGACTGTTTACGAGTAAGAGCTTAGTGATTATCATTGAAATCATATGTCTTGTCTAAAACAAAGTGTGTATTTGTATTTCATTGAATACGCTAATCAACTTCTATAAGATCACATCAAATAGTGATCAATAGTTATTGTCATTCATTCTATCTACCTGTTTGTCTTACACATAGAATTATGTTATATGGTGTTATTATATGCACTACAAATGTCGACATTTTAAATGATTTATGGTATTATAAAAAAACAGCTTTCTACATTATTATTTTAAATCTCCTGCTATGCATAGGGAATTTGTTTTCTTTTTATTAAGGAATTTGAAAAAATCTCATATAAGGTATTGTCAATAACTGGCAGAATTTCTAAGCAATTAAGGTTTTTCTTAGAAAAAAACTAAAGATTTTCCAACTATTAACCGACATTTTGTTCCATTGGTTACCACTGCGAAGTCGAAAACTGGGGCAAAATAACTGTCTTACATTTCATTTCTTTTCATATTATTCATAGTTCATCTCTTTTTAACTGATGTTATATTGTAATGGTAAATTCAAATGTAAGGGAAATGATACATTGATAATGGTAATTGTCGGAGAACATATAACAATTGTAACACCTAATAAAAAAACCAAACTCCTGAAAATGGGTATTTAAATGACCAATATTTGTTTAGGTAAATTCTTGTCATACTCTACAACTACAAACTCAAATTTAATAATGACATTTTAGGTAACTACATTTTTAATAACAAAGACTGGGTTTGCCAAGGTGGTCGCAAGAATTGTCAGATTTTATTAGATGGGCTAAGATCTCTTCTGGAACGATAATCGCTCGCATACCTTCTACCAATTCGATTTTCCTCATGACCATTGCCCTCTAATTGGTTATCATGTTTTTTTAGTTCTCTAAATTACTACTTGCTACCACAGTAACAACATTTATACCAATTTTGTTCGAGTTGCTTGTTCTACCACATATATGAAGTTACCTGCAATTCTGTTGTTTTTTCCTGTCTTAGCCGTTGAAGTTTGATGTGTTGAGTATAATTGACTGTTGGCGGTTCCGAAGAGAACCTGTCGTATTAGAGAAGCTCACTTGTTTTCGTCTCTAAATTTGTAACATCGTAAGCCGTTCCGAACCCTAATAGCAAAGCACAACTGGGTTTAAGGTTACTGAGGAAAATAGGTTGATAACTTTTGTATATCAGAATGGGTTTTTGTGGAGATTTTAGAAATTTCACAAGTTGAAATCATGAGTCAGGTTTTCAATGGTGGTCTAGCTTCAACTGACTCATGATTTCAACTTGTGAACTTTTGTATATGTTGAAAGAAATCGTACGTAATTTTTATATCTTAATTTGTAGATTAATTAGATTTGTCGAATCTAAATTCGGAATAAATAATAATGTCAATACCAGTCAGCCTTATGTTCGATTAAATATTAGTTTGTGAAACTATATGAAGTACACGAAAGTAAAATAGGATAAATGTCAAACAGTTTGTATAAGTGAGTAAGAAAAAAATGGTATAAAATAATTTTAAGAGTAGAAACACGGTAACGCCTCTTAGAGTACTGTTGTCTAGAAAATATTCTGTTTGTAATGCCCTCCTTTTGGATTCAAAAGTCGAATTTTTTGCTAACAGCTTATTAAATGTGAAATTCTGTAAATTTACTTTGTGCTCAAAGTGTTAGTATATATTTTTGATCGCTTCAATGTCTACAAACTCAATGAATATACTGAGTCGATGTAAAAGGCTTCATTCATTTCATCTACATAAACTCTCAATCTAGTGTATATAATTGACATCGCACATGGAAATCAACATAGGTTTATATAAGGATACATTCATCACAATGATTGTTCTTCTATTCTGTTTTAATGCTCCTGAGTTTAAATGCTAATTGGTAAGGCGACTACATCGCTAAGTCTATTCCCTTCGATATTCGTTATACAAATGATAGCATCATTTGATTTAAGGCTGTTTCTTGGTTTTCATGTTCCCTTTTAAATCAGATTCCACATTCAATTATTGTTGGTAACATACATTCAACCATTTTAGTTATTCCTGCATATATCTGCACTTTTGTGTTTTGTTCAAGTAAGTATTCTCGTTATCGTTTTAGTTTCATTTACGAACGATAAAAATCACTTGAGAATTGTAATTTCAAACGATTTAGTACATCACTACTATTATCATTATTATTGTTTTAAGGTTTAATTGTAAATTGATGTTTAAAAATTTCCGTTGTATGTTTAACTGGAAATAAATGCTTTTACCTATTTGAATAGCACAGAAAAAATAAAACAGAGATACAAGAGTTTAGCTTGTCATTTTCCTACTCTGTTTATTGTTGTTGTGCGTGTAGTAGTTTTACTCTGAAGTTGTTTTATTCAAATGTGTTTATGTAGTATTTAAAATGGAAATGGTTGTTTATTTTTTTAATATTGTGACAGTTTTGAGAAATTTGACATTGGAAAGCAATTACTGTCGCATAATATTAATATTAAGTGTGATCGACAAGTATAGGAGTTAGCAATTGATTTGTATATGATTTAGTAGTATCCTTAAAAATGAAGTTTTTCAGTAACAGCAGGAATACCAGTGTATACTATGATTGGAAATGCCAAATTTATTTCCAACTGAGTTTTAAGGTGTTAAGTTATATTTATCTAAGCATATAAAATCTAGCACAACAGAGAACCCCGGCACCAAGTCATTAATTGACCATCTTTTTTTTCAGAATGTCATTGATGACCCCACTACTTGAATGAGACAATGAATATAGATTGTTTTACGTCCTCATTATGCCTTCAATGTTTGTATATAGGAACTTCAAAATGTTAATGAGCTTTTTAGGAACTCCCTTAGTTAACAAACAAACCCACAGAACAATCCTATGGACTGGAGACAAATCATCTGGGCTTGGTAAATTGTGGAGTTTCTGGGACTGGAGTTCCTTGAGGAATTCCATCTCGTCATATGGATCAGTCGACACTAGTTATGGAGGACAGACTATTTAGCACACCATACGTCTTGCTGCCAGTAGCTCGGATTAGTTGCCAGAACCTCCGGCAGTTGAGAGCTGTAGCTGTTGCTTCCAACTCGCTAGCACGTTCCGTTCTGACTTTTCTGTCCTTACGAAGCTCTTACACAATTTTATTACGTATAGTTCTATGTTTATAGTCAAACTTGCGGTTATCCGGAGTACTT